GCGAGATGTCCTTTTGCGAGTACTTTTTGATCTCGCCCGTGTTGGCGAGGGTCTGCGGGATGTGGCGCGTCTCCTTCGTCGAGTCTTCCACGCGCTCTTCAAACACGTCCAGCTTGCATGACTGCGCCATCGCAAACGAAATCGCAATCTTCTCCGACGACCGGAATGAGCTCAGCGTGATCACGTCGTTCATGACACTAGAACAGGGATGAACTACCTGTGTAAGTAGTACTTACTACTCATTCGAGTGAATAAAGTCCTGTCGACCAAACATACCTACTCGTGGCTCCGTAGCAGAAGTCCATGTCTTCTACCTCCACCTGCTTGACGCTGGCCTTGGAAAACGCGCGGATCGCGTGGATATGCGCCTGCTCTTCGGTGCGCGAGAGTCCCCAGAACACTGTGCATCCCGTTCTAATCGTTTGAATATGTACTAGTATCAAACACGATGATAAACTCTACCAAGGTTGGAATAAATGAAGACTCATTTAATCAAACACGATCATGTAGCTTCGAAGGCTAAGACTCTACCAAGGTTGGAATAAATGAAGACTCATTTAATCAAAAACGGTGAAGTAGCTTAGAAGGCTAAGACTCTACCAAGGTTGGAATAAATGAAGACTCATTTAATCAAAAACGGTGAAGTAGCTTAGAAGGCTAAGACTCTACCAAGGTTGGAATAAATGAAGAATCATTTAATCAAACACGATCATGTAGCTTAGAAGGCTAAGACTCTACCAAGGTTGGAATAAATGAAGAATCATTTATCTTATGGATAAATAAGTCGTACGCAAAATAGAACACATCCTTGCGCTCGATCGCGAGCTGGTCATCGGTGGCCACGACGTGGCTCGTCCTACTGACGACATCGTGTGTGAGCAACTTTCTCGGAAACATGATGACCTACGCGTCGTCGTCGTCGTCGTCGTCGTGGCCGATGGACGCCTTGCATGACGAATGGATCGCGCCCATGTGCATCTTGTGCGTCCATCCGTTCGGATTGAGTTCGCCGCCGGGGAGCTGCCGGGTTGGGACCCAGTTGAGCCACTTGAGGAGCTTGAACAGCGACATGGACTCGCACGTGCAGTACGCCGACACGCGCAGCAACCGCGGCGGTGCGCCCGTCCCTTCCTATCATGACGCATGAGATCGAGATGATCATGTGGACTTGAGGACGTACTCGGAACTTCTTCATGTTGCGCATGCGTGTGCGGCGTGTGTATCGATTTATCTTGGCAAAACTTGAACCCGACTACGAAACTACCATGAGAATACTGTAATGGAAGGAGCGAGCGATACACTGACGGGAGCTGGTTCGATGGAGAACTGCCGCAACGGGGTGTGGAAGGTCGAAGCATACGGCAGGATAGACGCCGTCCACTGACTCGCGTACGGAGCTGTCTGGGCCCCTTCGTCGTCGGACGAGCTGTCGTGCGTTGCATTGTAATGACCTCCAGGGCCGTAATACACATGTCGACGGGTCGATGGCGATGATGGTCCATCTACTTGATGCATCCTTTTCATGTCACTTCTTCATTTGACGGAGGTGGACACTACCTTCCTGTCGGCGATATTCCACGCCCGTATCGGAATTGTAGTTGAATGGTCGATGGACTTCCTCCGGCGTCACTCGGGACAATTCGTCTGTGGTCTCGTTGTCCTCGACACCAGACTCATGGAAGCGCATGGAGCGCGACACCATCTGTGGCCGCTGCGGGCTGCTTGGTTGATCCATCACACAATCCGAACCCCGACTGCCGCTACAGTACGTCCGACCTTGTCAATTCCACACCCGATGAAATCCAACCAACATTATTAATGTATTTAATGTTTGTATACACATATATTCCGCAAGTCAAATATTTGCTCATCTAATCTACTACTGCATGATTAGAGTTTTTACCAATATGTCTCCCATAATCTATAACCTTCCGGTATATAATAACCTTTACAAAACTATATTTCACCACCCAGGTTGCACATGCATTCGTTATTCGCGATTATGCGCAAAGAAGCCGAGGATGTCCTTGATGAGGATGTTCCAGAAGACCTCGACGACCACCTCGGCCACGATCAGCCAGATCACAATCCATTCGAGCTTCGTATCGTGCTGTCTCGCCAGTTGCTGGCTCAGCACGTCCAGCCTACAAAGACCAACATCACATTCATCACATCCAGAGCTCCTTACAATTCACGAAGAATGTCCAGCCGCGTGTTGAGGATGTGCACGCGATTGTCCACGTCCAGGTACTTCATCATCTTCTTGTACAGAGGTTGGTACTCGTCGTCGTCCCAGAAGAAGTCGGGATCGTCCAGCATGTCCGAGTTCAGGTTGATGTCACTGCGCTAAAATATCATACACCCACACTCGTGACCATCACTCTTTCTAGTACTACTACTAGTACCTCGATAAACAGCCGACCAATCAGCTGCGAGATGTCCTTTTGCGAGTACTTTTTGATCTCGCCCGTGTCGGCGAGGGTCTGCGGGATGTGGCGCGTCTCCTGGATGGTTTCGTCCACACGTTGCTCAAACACGTCCAGCTTGGACGATTGCGCCATCGCAAACGAAATCGCAATCTTCTCCGATGACCGGAATGAGCTCAGCGTGATGGAATCGTTGATCACACTACCAAACCTTGGTTCAATCCACGTCCTTCATATGCTTAAGGGTAACCTGCTGGCGTCGCCGTAGCAGAAGTCCATGTCCTCGACTTCCACCTGCTTGACGCTGCCGTTGGAAAACGCGCGGATCGCTTGAATATGCGCCTGCTCTTCCGCTCGCGTCAGTCCCCAGAACACCGTGCATCCCGTTCTAATCATCAGAAGGAAAAAAATAGAAGCTTGCAGTTTATTTTTGTCCAATCAGCATGCAGAGTAGGAGAATATGAACCAAAGAAATAGATTCCTTTTTGTCCAATCAGCATGCAGAGTAGGGGAATTGAACCAAAGAAATAGATTCCTTTTTGTCCAATCAGCAGGCAGAGTGGCAAGCACCGACGTACGCAAAATAGAACACGTCCTTGCGCTCGATGGCGAGCATCTCGTCGTTGATCAAGTCCCTAACGACATGCACGCAAGATGAGAGAGAGAGGGAAGGAAGGGGTCGATCGACCCATCGCCAACATGTTGGAGGAAGGATGTGGACGTACTCTTCGCGCTCGTCGGACGTACACGCGGAATGGATCGCGCCCATGTGCATCTTGTGCGTCCATCCGTTCGGGTTGAGTTCGCCCCCGGGGAGCTGCCCCGTTTCCACGCGCTCGAGCCACTTGAGGAGCTTGAAGAGCGAGATCGAGTCGCACGTGCAGTACGCCGACACACGGAGAAGTTTCGGGACGCCCATGCCTTGCTGTACTTGTGTATGTCCATGAGAAGATCGAGGATGGGGAGAAGAGAGAACGTACGCGGAACTTCTTCATGTTGCGCATGCGCGTGCGGCGCGTGTACCGGTTCGCCTTCTCGTTGACTGATTCCTGCTTCGGGATGATGTGAGAAAGGACGAGGAGTACGATGGTATGTACAGGAGTGGGTTTCTTGAGAAACGCACGCAGCGCTGTGCGGGAGGACTTGGCATGGGGGAGTGGCATGCGGTCCACCTTCGGGTCGGCGATCGCAATAGCAAACGCGTCGTCGTTCTCTTCGTCGGACGAGCTGTTGTTCGTGGCGTTGTAATGTCCCGCGCCGTAGTACACATGGCGACGTGTCGAGGGCGACAACGATCCGTCCACTAGACACGATATGAGATGATCTGGATATCAACAAGGGAGGAGGTGGCACCGTCACGACGGCCGTAATGCACGCCCGAGTCCGAGTTGTAATTGTACGGACGGCGAGGCTGAATCAGCGGCGAGCCTTCGTCGGCAGTGTCGGCGTTCGCTCCTGTATCGATGAATCGCATGGTGGAACTGTCGTCAGGGGGTGGAGCGGTTGTCTAATGGAGGTCAATCGGAGGAAGGCAGGCCGTGGAATCTTGCAGCCGCTATGACGGATATGCCAAATCGAATCAACTGTGGCACAATTCATTGGCTTATTCACGATATAAATGAACATCTTTTTAAATGAGTTGTAATCGTATTTTAATGCTCTATTTTTTACTGTTAATACTTGTTAAAGATACCAGTGGTGTAAATTCTAAATACATTATTTATTCATATCTAAAGTGAGCATTCATTTATCACTTTGATACTACGAAGTATATGCCTAGATTAGGCATCCGAATCTGGCGTATATACAATCGACACATTTTAGCCAATCCGATAGCATCCTGAATTGGATGCTTTTTGAATGGAATTTGCCGACATCTAAGCAGGAAGATGGAGTTCCTTGTGCACAACATCAGCCACTCGGACCTGATCTTGGAGCTGACGGGCGATTCTGCGCTCAAGACATCGCGCAATGCGACGTCGTTGCTTGCCCGCCCCAAGTTCAGTCTCTTCAATATCGTGTCGCAGTCCATCGTGCAGCAGCTCGACAAGCTCTTGACGCCTGTCCAAGCCGACACGTACGAGCGCGAAATGGACAGTCCTCGCTTCCAGCTACGGGAACGCTGCGTGTCCACGTGTCATCCTGTAGGCTTCAGGTACTCTCATCCACCATGCGTCTCCTACTTCCAACGTCGTCGTAGACTGGACGTCAAGCCCATCAACCTCGAGTCGTTTCCGTTGGAGCTGTCCGACTTCCAGTTGCGCGCGTCGGACGAAACCATCGCCGAAGTCGAGTCCTCGTGGAAGCACATCCGTATCACCGCTTGCTTCTTCCCCCTCCTCGGCATTCTCGTTCCCAAGTGGCTCCAAGTCCTCGCGGACGTCCATTCCGCCGAGTCCCAGCAACTACTGTACCTCATCTCCGGCGCGGGAATTCCCCGCAACGCGTCACATTCCATCTGCGGCAACTCGACCGAGTACACGGCCGCGCTCATGTCCAAGTTTGTGTCGGCGTACTACCCAAACATCCACGTGACGCAGATCCACTCGGGCTCCAACATCTTTCGGTCCCATTCTCCATCTTCCTTCGCCCTCCTCTCATATCCATGTTGTAGCTACGACGACAACGTCCAGTTCATGACGCGGCAGCTGCGGCCCGTGCTCGAAGCCCACCGCGACCTCCTCGTGACCAAAGTCGGCGACCACTGGAAAAGCCATTTCCATCTCACCATCGCATACGCGGACGGCCCGCCCGCGCGGCTCTCGGCTCTCAACGCCGCCCTGCGCGTGTACCAGCCGTCGTATCTGCATGTATGGCAGCTCAAGACGTTCTGGCACGAGAAGAAGCTCAGCTTGGACGACGTCGACTTTCATCCGTTTGAAAACGTCGAAGCCACGCCCGCCGTCGCCGTCGCCGACCTCCATGACGCCCCCCTCGTCGCCCGGGCTGTCGATGAAATCAAAGCATTTCGAGACCAGTTTGTTCAAGGTCATATATATATGAGGCAACGATGCAATATATTGCATTCTTTGCCCGATATTGAGTGTGTTGGAATATGATGTGATATGTTATTCTATTTTGGAATAGTTACAAACAATATGTATGTATATATATATATATATATATATATGTTGTTTGAAAGGAATAATAGATCCTGAATTTCAGGGGTTTTATTTTTTATTCTATAGTCGACGTTGTATGGTGGTCATATTGTCTTTCTTTTACCCAACCTTTGGACTACTTTTGCGCTGAATAATCGCCAAATCTATCGATCGATTCTTTGTACTGAAATTTGTATGTAAAGAAGTGGTTGGTATCACACTAATTTGATTGTTGATGATGATGGTTGTTTCCTGCAATCTGATTGGCTAAATTATCCTTCTGTGCATTTAATTTGGTTTTGTCGATTCATCATTCATTCTCCATGTCGCTCGAGTTTAGAATACATAATATCATAAAACTACATGAAGAGTGTCGCAAGCAAGAATCGTTGTCCTGTTAGTATTGTGCTTTCGAGTAAAATGTCATGGTTTATCGTTGGAATTTAAATCGATTTGATTGGCTACTTCAGAAAAAGCTCAAAATGATTAGCCAATCAAAACCTTCTCAATGAAATTCAACAACCAATCCGATCGGTTTGGTCGGCGCACCCCGTCCCCAAATGTGTATATCAAATCGATATCTTGATTTTTGTAGGGGAACACTTGGGCGAAGTGGGGCAGTTTTGGCTGCGCAAGTCGCGAAAGCCGGTGCTGGCCGTGCTGCTGGTCGAGAAAAGGACCTCGAGCGGGGACGTTCAGGTGGTCGTACACCGGGGCATGAACTGCGAGGTGTCCATGCCCACGGGGTCGCTCTGCGCCGAGCGCAACGCCATCGGCAGCGCGCTCGCCAACGACCCGACGCTGCTGCGCCAGTCGCTCAAAATGATTGCCGTGCTCAGCGTCAGTTTGCACCCACTTAAATTAGCACCCCCTCCCCCTCCATCGTTATCATCGACGAGCTTGTTGCTGCCGGCTCCTCCTGCACTCATTCTTGCCCACGCCACCACCACCACTGGTATGTACATATGATGTTTAGATATATTGTGAATTCGCTATACACGTCCAACACTGTCGAATCGATTTTGCATCACGCTGGAGTTGTGATTGGTTGAATATACGTGTGGCCATTCTGAAAGAGCCAATCAAAATCACTCGAAAATGGATGAGCACATAGCGTCGTCGATTCGTGATTCGGAGGCGAAATATTCGATTCGATGAAGTGTGGAAATCTGTACCGAATCCACTATGTATATATATATATATATATATATATATATATATATATGAATCGTTTTTTCACTGAAAAAGTTGGGCATTTGATTCGAGTCCAAAATGGACACGTATATATTTCAATGTATGGTATGGTGTGCTTTGCGCCCAAATTTGGACATTTGAGTCATTTCGCCAATCCATTTGACCAAATTTAAGCTTGTACAAACTATGCAATACAACATGTAGTATACCTGATTTGCCCCATGCGGAGAGGCTGGTGTGAAGTTTGATTGGCAGAAATTCACCAGAACGTGATTTGATTGGCTTAGGCGGTTCTTTAACCCGTTCTCCTAAGACATTCGATTCTGGTGAGGGCTCCAGTTTCGAATCGATTTGACAATATTATATACATTGGGAGTTATGATTGGGTGGGGCAAACTATGCGGATCGACGATTGGTTGAAATTTCGCATGAGTGAAGTTGGATTGGCTAGGACATTCTAAAATAGCTTTGCCAAATATGCTTTTTTTTTTATATAATCCAAATTTAATCATATATATGGCCTTGTCTCTCATTCGATACTACATGAAACAAGGAATGATATCATATGAATTCTACTTTGTACTGCACGTGATGGTAGAAATGACTATTGTTTGCATACAGTATACATCGTAGTATATCTGGTTATATATATATATATATATATGGCGTGTTGTACTCTGTGACATTTGATTTTGTGAGATGGCCAAAGTATATATATATCTATGGTGAGCTCATTTCTTGTGCATATTAAATGATCCAGCTGAGTAATGAAGGATTGAAATTCGTATTGGCTTTAGTAACGACGGCAGTGGAGGCGTCCCCCAAGACCGGCCGAAAGCCCAAACGCCCTCGGACAATCTCGTGCGACGCCAGCGTCCCGTCCATCCAAGCGGCGCTGGACGCCGTCGACGCTTCTGCTGCGTACGTAAATATATATTTAAATATATATATATTTCTTCGATTGTTAGGACGGAGAAGGACCTGAACCCACTGGCGCCATGTGGGGCATGCAACGAGTGGCTGCTCAAGATCGCAGAGGCGAACCCTTCGTTTAAGATCGTCACGTTCGACTCGATCGACTGCGACAGCGTTTACATCCATCAGTTGCTCTAACACGATCAGAATATGTTTATATTCGTTAAACGTCCGGATAATAATCTGTACGGATACAACAATTTTCCATCATCGACCAGTGCGTTTATATTCGTTAAACGTCCGGATAATAATTTGTACGGATACAACAATTTTCGAGTAGAAGTAAATAAATCCCTTGCCAAATGATATATTACGTCAAAATGCAGCTGTCGGTTATTGTGGATTTTTTCGGGACAAATTTCCAGACCCCGTCGAATCGAATCACAAATCGACGCTATGGCTAATCCAATTTTGAGTAGATTTCATTGGCTCTTACAGAAAGGACAAGTATATTCAACCAATCAGAACTCCCGCGTGATTCAATATTGATTAGACAAACCACGCGAATTTTGGGAATTTACATTAATACTTTTATAGTGGCGAATTTACAATATCATCGTCGTTTCGTTATGAATTCTCTTCACTGTAGTATTGTACTTCCAAGTACTACTTTTTGGTGATGTCATAATCGATTTGAATCACTCGATGGTTTAACATATTAAAGTTGTTTATTTGGCTGGGCCAAACTGCTGGGTGAAACTTTACTTTTCGTTGATTGGCTGAAACTTCTCAGTTTCATTGGCTAGATCATTCTAAAATACGTTTGCATTACTAGTACTATAGTAGTTAGTATCCTGCCCTGTCGACTTTTTATGCTTAACAGTGAAAATATTCAACTGGGGTAACGTAATAGTACCCACGTGAGGGGTGAAAAGTAGGTGGTTTATACATGGAGTGCAATATAGTACTGTGCTACTGTACCAAGGACTGATTGTGACGCTAGAACGATACCGTTTCTATAACTTATTTTGATTCGAAGTGGCTTCGAGATGGAATCTCATTGGATAGTAATCCTGGCTACAAAGTTGTACCCAAATATTATCTATACTGGATGGGGACGACAATTGTATTGGTCCAATATTAAGGTATGAAGTATCTTCATATTGAAGTCTAAACTTACAGGGTAAACTCGTTTCTTTAACGGCCCCATCTCTATCCCATCTGTGTCAAAGCATCACAATCGAATCCGTCACGATGAATCAACTGCTTGAAGTCGAATTCGTGCACTTCCCATCGCATGTCGACACGTTTCGCGTGCGCGTCGACACGAGCGACGGCCACCTCCCGTTCAAACTGTGGGTCGAGAACACCACTTCCAAACACGAATGGTACAGTGTACCGTACACCTATAACTATGCTCATCTTCTTGAAGGGCGGGCGTGTTCCACGAGCTGAATGCTACGAGTGACGTGTTGCCCTGGCATGACGTTCTTGCGATGCTCAAGGTTCGTTCGTTTCTTTCCCTCTCTTTAGTGACCCTTGTCTGACATGATGCCGGGGACAGTCGTCGCTAGTAGCGTCGAGCACCAAGTCGAACGTGCCTGCCGACGTGGACTTGGTCGACGGACCCAACGGCCATGTGGAGATGACGATGGGCCAGTACAAGTTCAACCTGGCGCCTGTGGATGCCGACACGACCACCAAGCTGGAAGACCGCGTGCATGCCTTGGAGGCACAAGTGACCGAGCTCAAGAAAACCACCGAGTGGCTGCAGCAACATCAAAAATAAGAGAGCTTATTTTGTGATAACAAGGCTATAGATCAATAAAAGGCATTGCATTTGCTGAATACGGTTATAACGCTAAACAGTACAGTTCATTATTCCAATTACTCAATGGCTACGAATCCACACTATAACGTTAGTGAGTGGTTCATGACATCAAGGCTTTAGTGCATAGAATCGATAGTATTAGCAACGTTATGGTTGATTTGTGCCAAGTGAAGCGCCGTCGACGGGCACACTGGTCCTCTCTTTCTTTCCAAAACCATGGACATGCCAACTTAGCGCCGCTGGGATTCAACTTGCAAGACCCTGCGTCGCATACATACCACGGCGCCATGACTATGTCGCAGTGAAGTGTCAGCGCAGTTGATGGTCAACGCAAAGTGGTCCAGCTTGTGGCTTTTCAGCAGCGAACGAACGTCGGCGTCTGCAGTCCTGAGCTTCCATGTTGCTAGTCGCCCCGTTCAGTCGTTTGGGCTGCCGTGGAGACGAGTCGTCGATGTCAGGAGGTTGGTGTAACGTTCGCGTCGTGTAATCCAGATGACATTGCACATGCATTGGCATGCATTAGAGTTCCTTTTTCCATAAATGGAGAGCTTGGATTGGGTGAAATGACACAAGTATATGATCGACTCGATAGTCACATGGTGACCAATCCGTCCTTTGTTATGGCGACCGAGATATGCGCGGCGCCACGATGAAGAAGCCGACTCGGCTGGGCACGACGCCACCGCCGTGACGAACTACAGTAACAGCTTGTCGACACTGTACCGTACAGTATTGCGCAGTGAGATCGGATTCGACCCGTGTATAAGTGGTGATCCCACCGGGCATGTACGCACATCGTTGGCGTCGTCTCTGGGGCTTCGGGGTACTTGTTACAATTGTACGGGTCATACTGGTACGCTCCAAACATGGAATTAGTTGGCGAACTAACTAGTAATAACCCAAGTTTCGGCGGACGTCGTCCACTTCCTCGCGCAGCTGGGCGAGTTCAGTCGTATGACATACATCTTTCAACGCTTTCACGTTCTCCTGCAAGTCGCGAATCTTGGCTGCCAATATATCCGTGGTGGCCACATCGAGGGGAGTCAACTCAAACTCGTACTCGACCGACAGTTTAGCAAACGCCGTCATCGCCAGCTTCATCTTCACCTGCCCGTTCGACCAACTTGTCAAGTCCACGTCATACGGACACTTGCTTGTCGGCGTTGAGCTTGTTGGAGTATTCTAGCCACGTGAGACGGATGCGAGTTAGCCTCCATATAGCAGTATAGACAGTGGGTGCACCAGCAGAGAGGGCCAACAGGCGTTCATTGTAGCCATATTATTCTCGTCATTTGCAGCCAACGCAGCCTAATAGAAATGGTGATCAGGAGGTGATGGATCAATATCAACTACAACTACCTGCAGTGTCGCGATCACCACCTTTGAAGGCAACTTGGACTTGGCGGTAGTTGGCGCATGATTCAGAGTATTCTTGACATTGCACGACCTACAATTGCGCTTGAGCTTACTGTTAGTCGAGCATACTAGTATTGGTCAATTCGATCAACCATTGGAACTTGGTGTTGCTGTTCACCCAAACACTACACGACACTCGTCGTCCGTCTTCGCCAGGCGGACTCGGAACGAATCCGTCTGCGACGGGAACTTCACTTTGGACAGCTCCACAACCATTTCGTCAGTTCTTGCTTGGGCATTTTGTGACGTTGAATTGTTGCGACTTACTATATCTTAATATTGAAACATCCGCCCGGTAAGCTCGTGTCATCCCCAACTGTCGGATGTCATCGTAAAAGCACCAGTATTCAAACTCGAAATGACGCCCAGAGTGCAAGAAGACTCGATGCAACTGACTTCTGTGAAGTTTCCCTCGTACACGGATCTTTGCCGAGTCCAAGTGGACCTATCCAAAGGCGATGTGCCGTGTAAACTATGGATCGAAAACAAACACTCGAAAACCAATGGTCGTCGTTGATCCATCCTAAATATACTCCCACCTAAGTTGCCTTTCTGCGTAGGTCGTGCATTGTCACAGATACGAGTGTGCATGCCCCGAAGTCGGCCTCGTATGTGTTGCCTTCAGCTGTGGTTATCTCGATTTTGCAGGTGGTACTACTGGGTTGTGTTTTCATATGTGGTCGAGTACATATTGCAACGATTGAAGTACTACTACCCATTGTAGAGTGCTCTCCGTGCCCTTGACGCCAGCACTGCTGCAAAGCCCAACCCATCGATTCAAGATGCTCCGTGGACTTGAAGGACGGATTGAAATGTCATGTGAAAATGCTGCTGACATTGAAAGCATTTGGACAATTGTCGGCCGAGTACTCATTCGAGTTGGCCCCCCTCGAGGTGGACGCGATTGAAAAGCTCGAGTCCATGATCCGAGACTTGAACGAAGAGATTGCGGTGATTGCGAATGCCCCAAGTCCCCTCGATGAAGTTGCGGAACTGCGCCAAGAAATAACCGAGCTTCGCAATTGAGCACGTTCTTGCGTCTACTATCATGGATCGTTAATACATGGACAGCCATTGTAGCCTAATATCTACGAGATTCATCAATTTAGTGGTTCTAGGTAGTTAGGTACCGAGCTTAGGGTATATATGCATCGATGTGAATGTCTGCCCGGATCGTCGAATCCTTTCTTGCAGTATCAAGTCCAAAACCCCATACTCCCGAGTGAGAAACGTAAGATACAATTAGATACAAGCCATGTCCATCAATGGCGATAATTCCCTCACGAGCGCATGTGGTTGCGGAATTCGTCCAGTTCAGTGTACAGTTGTTGGATCGTCAGCTGCACAGCATTCACATTGGTCTGCAGTTGGTCCACGCGTTCGTACAAGTCGCGGAGTTTAGACTCCGCCTTTGTCGCTCGTGTCATTTCCACAGGCTTCAATGGAAACTGGTACTCGGCTTCGAATACTCCAAAGGCCTTCATTCGCAGCACCATGTACATGAGGCCAGTCGTCTCCCCCTCGTTGATCAAGTCCAAATCGATGCCAGGTTCTTTGTGGTTGGGCACTCTGCAGGCTGGTAATCCGGTCTAAAGGTCGTTCAGTTGTTCGTCAGAAGAAGACGTGAATGTGGTCGAGTCAGTCAGCGCACCAGCAGAGCAGCGACGACCACAAACGATGGCAAGACGTAGCTCGCATCTTTCGGAGTGTACTCACTGGTGTCTTTGACTGTGCCCGTCCTACAGTTGCGGTGAGTTTGGGGCGATCGATGGAGCAAATCCAACCATTGGTGTTTCGTCTCTTTGTGTTCCACCCGAAGGGTGAACGGCACGTCGTCGTCCGTAGTTTCCACGCGGACGTGAAAGGGCGAGGTTTGGGAACGGAATTGGATGTCACGCATCTCCAGGAACGTACCGCATTCTTCTTCTTCATCCATGGTGGCGAATATAGATATGGGAATGGAGAGCAGTGAGAGATGCGACGGTTTGACTGAACGAGGTTTACTGCAGCCCTGGATTTTTATTTTCAACGTCGTTAACAGTCAACTGTAAACTGACAATTGGAATATTTCACACAGTTCATATGTCTTCGAAGGAGTGAATGTTGTTGAAGGGAGTGCGGCATATCCTGTGGAAACTTTATATTTCTGAATTTCACGAACCTGTATGCTTTAATATTCCACGCAGAATTTGTCGCGATCATGAAGCGCCCGGTGGCAGCTACTGCATGGGTCGTTGTGGTGTGGACGTTGGTTCAGTCGGTGGAGACAAACGAGGACGACAACATGGACATCTCCTATCGCATCATTGAAAGCCAGGAAGTGTAAGCGACTTATCATCGTCCAAGTCTCACGATGCCGTAGGATCTGGGCGTGGGGAAAGCTCGAAGGCGTGAAAGGCTCTGCTCGTTACGACGACTGGCCGTCCGTCACACGCGACCACGTTCTCTACGACAACGCCAATCTCACAAAGCTGTCCGCGTCCTCCTCTTATCTATGCCAGAGTTGATCATTGCGTTCGATAGGACGTTCCTCAATGTCCAACTGCCAACACCGCTACCCGTGCAAACTCTTCCGCTGCAAGTCACCGACGTGTATGGCCTTCCTCATCGCTTCAGGACGACGAATCGTGACAGGTCACTTGCTTGTAGAGCCATCGCCAACTGCGACTTGACTGCGTTTCCGCCAGATATGCTGCACATGACCCATCTTCAAAAGCTGTACGTACATAAACGATCCACTATGATTCAATACACTCAACGGGTGATTCATATAGAGACCTGAACCGCAACAATCTCGTGGACTTCAACATCACCGCGCTAGGGCCGTCGACATCGTTCCCATCCTTGCAGCAACTGTACGTCCATCCATCCCGCCCTCGACACTCGGTTGGTCTGAGCTTCTGCAGCATGTTGCAGGAGAACGCCCTCCGCACGTTTGACATTGCCGCGCCATCCCTTGTCCAATTGTACGCATTCCCACTACTGATATATATATATCATACAAATCTTATCCCAATGGGTATAGAGACCTCAGCGGCAACCAGCTCACGGCGCTGCCTAGTTGCTTGTACACGATGATGGAGCTACTGGAACTGTACTTGGCCAACAATTCGATCCCGCAGCCATTGCATGTGTCGGCCACCGAGTTTGAGTTCCTCTCAGGCTTAGACTACTTTTATATGGACTCGGTAGTCGTCGACTCGAGTGCTTGTATGGGCGCGAGCCAGCTCCATGCGCTCAAGGGCAACAAAATCTGCGTCACATCCTCGTCCCCTTCGTCGCCGCATCCCCCCCCTGCCATCGATCGTCCATCTACTACCTGGAGCTACTCGACGTTATCTTGGGTCCTCCTTGTCAGCGGCGTCCTCGAAGCGGTCGTGGGGGTCGCAGTGTACGTAGCATACCGCAACCAAAGGAACTTCAAGTGTGCTGCGCCGCCATCGTACACGACGACGACGACGGCGTCCTCGGGGGAGCGAGAGCGGCTGCTGTCGGTGGAGCACGTTCTGTATGCCAGCATGGAAGCATGGACGTCGAGCACGACTCTGTCGCAGGCGCTGGAGGCAGAGGCGCTGAGGCTGGACTGTGACGCGGTTTCGCTGGATGTGCGCCTGGCTCAGGGGGGATACGGGGAAGTGTGGCGGGGCCACTACCACCAATCAGTGGTCGCGATTAAGCTGCTGTTGCCGGAGAAGCGAGCCCCCAGCGATATCGAAGCGTTTATGCGGGAGATTGTACTGCTTGCAAGGTTGTAGGATTGACATGATATTATGTATTGATGAGTGGCTGTCTCCAGGGGGTTTGCACTTGTATAATATATATATATATCTTCATGGCTCGAATGATATATATGTATATATATATATCCACCATCACTGTAATTCTTCTTTCGACCCAAAATGTGGATTGACTTTTGATTATTTGCCAAATCTATCAATCGATATATTGTTTGTCCTGACTTTTGTAAAGATCGTCGAGTATCACACTAATTTCAGTCACACACTAATTCGATGTTGGATTGGTCGATTTGATTGGCTACTTATGAGTGTTCTGGATTTTGATTGGTCGATATATCGATTGTCGGCCGGTTTGGTGGTTATCCTGCCCATTGTTTCAATTGATATATATATATCCACCACCTCTGTAATTCTGATATATATCTATATATAGCTTGGACCATCCGCACATAATCCAGTGCATCGGTGTCGCATGGCCCAAATCGAAGCGCGACCTGATGCTTGTGACAGAGTACGTGGGTGGCGGGGACCTCCGCGTGTTGCTAGATGCCGATCCATCGTCCGCGCACGTGTGGCGGCGGCAGAAAGTGCATTTTGCCATCGACATTGCCGTGGCCATCGAGTATTTGCATGCGCTGGATATTGTGCATCGGGACATCAAGGCCAAGAACGTGCTCGTGGACGACACCAGCGCCAAACTGTGCGACTTTGGGGTCGCGGTGCGCCTGCACAACCCCTCCCTTTACGGGGGCTTTGGTGCGTGTCTATGTTACCATGATAAATGTGTGACGTGGTGCAAACTGTTGTAGGGACGTCGCGGTGGATCGCGCCCGAAGTGCTCTCTGGCGACCAGTTCACCAAGGCCGCAGACGTGTACGCGTTTGGGATGGTGCTGTCGGAACTCGACTCGCACCAGATTCCGTTTGCGCATATCCGGACGTTGTCGGGCAACGACCTGACGAACGTGGCGATTCTGCAGCAAGTGGTGAAAGGCGCGCTCTCGCCCGAGTTTGGTGCCGCGTGTCCGCGCCAGATCCTCACGCTGGCCAAGTTGTGCCTCCATCCGAACCCCAAGGCCAGACCCGCGGCCGCCGCGGTCGTCGCGGCGCTGCGTCAAGTTGTGTTGGACCCATGAAATCGTGCGAGTATTGGGGAAGAGTAGTACATATAGGGTGGTGTATGTATATATATGGTATATATACCTCGTCCAAGGGGATACTAGTAGTAGTTACTATCGAGATCCCGTTTCTACTATATAGTACTTCGAAGGATTTGATAAGAGAAAACGAAGCTTACGACAAGTACAATTCATAAAGTTCTGTAGTAAACTACTATCGAAGTAGAAGTACTATTAATACTAGGACTACGTAGTACTGACGTTACCAAGTAACGTTGACACCGGCGTAATCTAGTATTACTAATACTTCTACTTCGATACTACTAGTACTACTAGTAGTACCCCGAGTAGTACTCCAGTATTGATAGTCCTCTTAATAGTGGATTACTCAGTAATACTATTCTATACTACGATGTCGTAGTTCCCCTATGAATAGTACTACTACTATACGCAGTACGAGTACTATTTAGTAGTACTGTATTTATAAAAAGCGTCAGTGTTTTGACAGTGAATCGCCATGATGTATTAACCTCTATAATCCGATACACACAGTAGTAGTGTGAATCTTCGAGAAATTCTTCGTGCAATTGAGGCAAGCATATAGGCATACAAAGCGTAAGGTACCGGTAGTTCATGCGTCCAAGTATGGTCGATGCCTCGTCCTTCTTCTCCACAAGGCCCTCACATACAGAGTGATGACTTAGCTCCCCTTGCGAGGGTTTCCATTAGGTCCGGCGGCGGCAACTCATCGGAAGACGTGTCATCTCCGACGACGAGGAGTGCGAACGTGTTGTCGAAGCGTACGAGCGTTTTGATTGGCTGGTTTTTAAAGCTTGGACCAATCACAACCCCAGAAACCGTTGCGCGAGTGAAACCGTCATGTAAAATCGTGTTCATTTTTCAATTTTCGTTCCCGCACAAACACCACCGCCGCCATTCCCGCCCGCCTCCTTCCCGCCCGCTACCCTCCTGAAAAGAAGTACTGTCGTCTTCGATCTACTTGAGGCTACCTTCGTCCATGAGCTGTATGTCATTGGCGTATCCATGCGCCGCCTTGCAACCTGTTGCGGCGGCGGTCCAACAGGCCTTTGCACGTGGTGTCCGCCCGATCTTGCTTGACGACGGAACAGGCGGGGTGTATGCGTGTCGGTCACTGCAACAGCGACTTGTTGGGATATTCAAACCTTGTGACGAAGAGCCTGGAGCTCCCTTCAACCCCAAAGCGAATGGAAACATCGTTCGACAGGGCATTCCGCTGGGACAAATGGCAGTGCGAGAATGCATGGCCTTTTTCGCGGATGTAGACGCGTTTGCGCGTGTTCCACCCACGGCGTTGGCGTTTAGTAAACACGAGGAGTTCAATTCAGGCGCGAAGAAACTTGGTTCCTTCCAAGCGTACTGTCCCCACGACTGCAGTGCGGAAGACATGGGGCCGTCGTCGTTTGCTGTCGATGACGTGCATGCAATTGCGTGTTTGGACATTCGCCTTTTCAACCAAGACCGACACGCTGGCAATCTTCTCGTCCAGCGCTCCACCAGTGCAGGCGAACCATCCCAACTGACTCTAGTCCCAATCGACCACGGATGTTGTTTGCCAGAATTGGAGCACATGGACGAAACCACGTTCGCATGGATGCAGTGGCCCCAGGCAAATCTCCCGTTCAGCGCCAAAATCAAGGCGTACGTGGCATCGTTGGACTCGTTTGCGCAAGAGGAGGCCATGAAGCAATCCATTCGACCTCCTGTCAAGGCCTTGGCGACGTTGCATGTTGGCACGTTGTTGTTGAAGAAGTGCGTGGCGATGGGGCTGACTGCATTCGAAATGGGGCAGCTGCTCGTGCGCTCGTCTCTGGCTATGCCGTCTCCTATGGAATGCCTCGTGGCCCAGCTCAAGCACTTGGACCCATACAGACACATTCACCTGTATCTCCGTGTGTTTGAAGTCGCTTTGGACAAGTTGGTGCGTCGCATGTTCCCCCGCACCACCAACGTTGTATGTGCTGACAATGGCTGGACGATCCAACAGCCAACTCAGCAAGAATTCGCGGCGCGGAAATCCTATGCCAAGGTCTTGTTGTCGTCCGCTGCCTAAGTCGATATGTACTGCGAGGACATCTCGTGGATTTAGTTGCACAGTCGTATAGTTAACGTCGAGGCATCGAGTATCGCAGTTGCATGGTGGTAAAGTTTGGTTTTCCAACTGGACAATACATTTTCACTAAAGATCTTTGCTACATACATGTATAGTACTACAGTACGTACTACAGTACTAGTACTACGTATGAATACCGGTAGTACCTTCGATTGGTACGCAGTATTTGTCGGAGTACAGTATGTATTACTACTCCGGAGTAGTAATACCAGTAACGTTAGTATTTATTTTTTTGTCGAAAGGGCAAGTTGCACGTGAAAGGCAATTTGAACTTGATTTGATTAGGGGACAACATTTTGGGCTAAGGAATACCAGTCTGCTAACAAGTTGGCAACATCTGCAGTGAGCCTGGCTTTTGGAGGGCAATGGTTTGTCTGAATGTCGTTGATTGAACAGAGGTGCTGGGGATGCAGGGTTCGGTTTGAAATCTGGAGTCAACTTGGCGGTGGTCGGGCTGCCAATGTTCAAGCGTTGGCACCGACTGGTTGGCATCTCTGTGAGGATGATGCAAACATTGACGAACTGGCAGTGCAGCTTCCCGCTGTGCTTGACGCAGAAGCGTACACGTGGCTGTGGCAGCCGTCGATGGCGCAGAGACGACGGTAGAGGTGGAGCGCGCACTTGACAGACCCGTCCATGCGGTCGTTCTCACACTAATAACAATTCATATACACTATCAAATCAACCGGATTTTTATACGGAAAGATTAGTCGCTCACCAACTTGAAACGTCGCGAGTGGTGGCATCATGGACGAGTTTGCTGATCTCAAAGATGGCAGTGGCGAGTGGCAAAACATCCAAGTAAGCCGTTTAACCATCATGTACAAGTATATAGGGCTAGCGTCCCCGAGCTAGTTTCACACGAAATGCCTGCCAGAACCCTCACAACCGTGCGATGAATCAATGCATTTGCCGTGTAGAGTGTACTGCGAAGTACGTTCCAAGTGCTGTTGGAATCCAAAGTCCGACAAGAGCGTCGAGTGGCGCAGCTAGAACAAAAGATGGAGGTACCCGTGAAAACAAGAAGACGAAGCCAAGACTACTTACTGTATGTATCTGAGTAGGAATTGCAGCTACAAGTCGACCAAAAGGCAGACAAGGCATATGTGCAGCGATCCATCATCCAGCCTCACGTTCCGTCCTCAGACTACGACACCAATAATCCATCTACAAGGTATAGTAGATCTGATCTATTCTATTGCCCTACAGATCGAAATCCGTGACGCATTCAGCAGAGATGGCGGTAGTAGTGGAGTGAATAGCACGGCCAAGACTGTCCAAGTGATGCAACGACAGCTCATCGAGCTAGAAGCGCGGTTTGCGGCAATGTCCTCGGTACTACTGTCCAATTGTCCATTGTACTCTATGCCCATATACGTCCAATGTGAAAACGAACGCATTATAATTGGACAGGACTCGGAGCTGTGCCTTGCCACGGAGCGCCGCGTGGAGTACGTCGAAGAGGAACTTCGATTGGTATAATACCATTAGTATTTATAGTCTCATATACTGATAGATCGTGCCGATTATCGACAAAAAGGCCGACGTGGAGGCCATCCACTTGTGGCTGGGCCAGGCCAACGACAGCTGGAAACATGCTATGAAAAAGAGACTCAAAACCACCTCGTTTGAGCGAGAGGTGCAGAATTGGCAGGCCAAGCTCGACCAAGTCGAGTGTGCTGGTAGTCTCGAGCACCCCGACACTAAAGCCCAGCTGCACCAGCTGAGCTCGAAACTCCACCAGCACGAAGCCACGCTGGCCCGCCTGGCGTATTTTATCCAGAAAAGCCCCGATCAACAAGTAGCGATACAGAACTCGATGGCAGACCTGGAAACCAAGCTGCAGAACACCATCGTGATGGTAAGAAAGAGGAAGCAAATCTATGCTGGTCGAAACGAAGTTAAGTACTAGCTAGATACAAGCGAAGCAACACATCAATAACGACGTACTATCCCCGGTAATAATCATGTCAGGGCCTGAACGGCATCCTAATGAGTCGGTTGCAGGCGGGTGAGCTAGGGGAGCCAAACGACAAGGTAAGTACATACTAATCGTATTTACTTGCTATATGTACGACCTAAGTGAAGTTTAAGTTGGAAACAACGGGGTCCATCGCTGCTATGGCCACGGTAAGACTATCCATAGGACAGTTGACATGTGTGACCTTTTGGTAGAAAATCCAAGCCCTGGAGACTCAAGTTGAAGTAAACAATGCGACGTTATACTTGGACACTTTTACACGTTAGTTTGTTTAGACGGTTGCCCAGCGTGGAGTTGCTACGTCCAGTGACCAGGAAGTACGATATTTGTTCAGTCCCATGACATACATGCAACTGATTGGTCGGTAGAACTTGGTACTTCCCCAACTTGTAGTAGCACTCCAAGTAATACAGACTCGTCGTGACCACCCATCCACCCCCCCAGGCGCGGGTAGAGCAAAAGGTGCACCAGTTGACCGAGATCCTGCATGGGTTTGTCTCGTACGTGTATATATTATTAGTATATCTGACGGGTTGATGCGTTTATAACTACTGGAAGGGACGTTCAAATCGAATTGGAGCACATGCAGCACAAGACCGACTCGGTGAACCAGTTGGACCAGTGAGGATTAAATCACATCCGCAAATCACCAGGCAAAATGATGCTTTGTAGGAGAATCCATCACGTGGATGCCAAGGTCTGCCAAGTGAACACGACCGTGCAGGAACTCATCAGTGCAATGTCTCTACTCGCGAATCACTTGCCCGACCCATCTCTTTCCCCTCCTTCCCCTGCAGAGCCCCCGGTGTTGCTGGGGGATGAAACCGCCCAACTCGTGGAGCTCGAGGCTTTGCTGGCGTCGTCCTTGCAGAGGTTTGAGCTCGTTCTTACTGCGAGTGTTTTCAATCGTGGACATAGTCATGACAAGATGATACTGGGACCGCAGAGCCAGCTGGAACTAGTGCGCGACCAGCTATCCGCCACGCTAAATGACTCGTCGACCTCTTCTCTACGTGGCTTGCACCAAATGATGTTGCATCCGGTGTCTCAGCCATCGGACGGAGTTTCACATGCATTAGCGGCCACATTAGCCCATCTCAACCATGACCAATCCCAACGGGCTGTGGAGGCTCCATGAAGGTGTATACTTTCCATGTGTCCGTATTCCTTGGTTTACTATTTCTGTACTGTAGTACAGTTAATCCTGGAGATTTTGCATGTACTATTAAGAGGACAATGTACCGTATCCGGACATTATCCGGATTTATTTAGTTTTCTAACTGTAACCTGCCAATTTTCATTGGATATCTACCATATTCTCGGGATTTTCCCTCCAATGAGTGAAGTCAAAATCCCGATTAACAGTAACGTTAAGAGCATCTCCAGCATTTCTACGTATTTACGTATTTCAAGTCAAAGTTACGGATATACTTCGAAGTAGAATAGAAACTCTTGCACTATCCGGAGGATTTGTTGCTATTTCACGCGAAAATTGAAATTCGGCGTAATTTCTAAAAATGTCCGGATAAGTAGTGCCAAAATAGAAACCGTAAAAACTTTAACGTATGATATGCTTATGTATCTCGTCCATTCGACCCAAATTTAAGCTTGAACACACTATTCGATACAACTGTACATACTATATACTGTACGTACAATATTTACAGTGTTAGTATACTACTACGTATTAGAATTGTCGACAAAGGCTTACTATTAATAGTAGTACTTACGTAGTAGTACTACATGTTAGAGCATCTCCAACGGTAATTCTAACCTACTTGTATTTACTAGTAGTACTAGTATTGCTAATTTTTGCGAATTGATTAACGGGGTCCAAATTTCGGTGAAAAGGACAATAGTATTTCGTATCAACTCGACCAAGAATAATATAAATAGTATAATAATGTGGCTTTGATCCATACAACCCGCAAGGTATTTAAATACATAGGACGAATGAACCTTCTTCCTCGTACAACGCCAAATTGACTGCTTGACCCAAGATGGCGCAATGGCGGCGGTTCGCGTTCTTTGAGAAGGAGCTCCTGAAGGACCAGAATGGGCTGTGGCTTCGAGTACGTCCCCACCTTCCTCATGTGGGAGGCTGACGATTGCTTGCTTCTTGCAGGGCATCGACGTCACGAGCATGAGCGGCAACCGTGGGTTGCTTGTCATTGGGGATGCGTCGGGGCTCATTCACATGGCGAATCGGCAGTTGGAGACGCGGGCGTTTCGCGCGCACGACCACTTTGTCTCCCATGTGATCATGATGAAGAAGGCCAACTTGTTGGTGTCCATCGGCGACGGCAAGGACCCGCGGGACCCCGAGTTGATCAAGGCGTCCAAGGCCATCGCCGATGCTTCGCGCACCCAAGCGCAGCAAGACGAGGTTCCCCAACCATCTCCTTCTCTCTACATGTCCCCTCTCGTCTCACACCTTCATTGCAGCAACTGTTCACGGCATCCGACAGCCAGGGAAGCACGGCGCTCGTCAAGATTTGGCGCACGGACCAGCAGGACCGCGACGGGAAGCCCAAGCTGCTCCAGCAGATCAAGATCTTCGCCAAGGTACCTTCCCCCATATCCCCATCGCGTTGTTACACGATCTGGAAATGTCTAGTTCCCAGAGGAAGCCGTGACCGCGTTCTCCGTGTCGGACGACTTGGCCCAGATCGCCGTCGGTCTGCTCAACGGCGCGATCATCCTCTTTCGAAGCGACGCCAAGCGCCGGTCCGACAAACCGCCGCTTCTGCTGCAACCTGCGACACAGTACCCTGTGACATCGCTCCATTTCGCGACCAAACTCAACGTGCCGACGCTGTACGCCGCCACCAAGCGCGGCCTCACATGCTACCACTGCGACGACTCGTCCAGATCCGGCGGCATGCCCCGGTCCGTGGTGCTAGACGAGCGCGGCGTAGCTCTGCACTGCGGCGCCGTGAGCGAAGATGGCGATATGGCCGTGGGCCAGAGCGACGCCGTCTACTTCTACACGCCAGAAGACCGCAGCGTGTGCTTTGGCTTTGACGGGGACAAAAAGTACTTGGGTTTTTTCAAGCAGTACCTACTCGTGGCGCATGTAGACCCGCGGGGCCGCCACCAAGTCAACTTGTATGACCTCCAGAACAAGTTCATTGCATTCAACTGGACCCTGACCAACACGGCCAAGGGCGGCGGCGGCGGCGGCGGACGCTTTGGCGACGACGCTGCCGAGGAGATCCGCCATGTTGTGAGCGAGTTTGGCGCTGTGTTTGTGCAGAGCTCGCTCGGGTACGTGTACCGGCTGCTGGAGGTGGACACGACGTCCAAGCTGGACATTTTATTTCGCAAACATCTGTACTCGATCGCGATTTCGCTGGCTTTTAGCTCGAATTACGACCTTACGAGTATCATGGACATCTTCCGCGCGTACGGAGACCACCTGTACCAGAAAGGAGACTTTGACGGAAGCTTGAGGCAATATGCCCGTACAATTGGTACGTTGTATAAGAGTTCAAAGTCGGAATGTTGGTGGATATATATATATATATTGTGCTTTCGAGTGAAATTTCATTGTGTTGTGGCATTTTTCTCGTTGGAATTTAAATCGATTTGATTGGAGATGAGCTCAAAATTATTAGCCAATCAAAACCACCTTCTCAATGAAATTGAACCAATCAGATCGGTTTGGTCGGCGCGATTCGATTGCACCGCACCCCCTCCCCAAATTTGTATCAAATCGACAATATTCGGTGGATATTATTTGCATATGTGTGGTTGCGCTGACTACTTTACAGGGACAACATATTTGGGAGATACACGATAATATTATTTTTTTTTCAAGATGAATTATGTCTAAATCAACAGGTCAAGCGCTGGTTCAACTATGAAAAATACATGTGGATTTGAATATTTTTTAATATTTATTATTTTTTATTTATTTCGTAGGTTATGTCGAGCCGTCGTACGTGATTCGGCAATTTCTTGACGCCCAGCGCATCCACAATCTGACGACGTACCTCGAGGCGCTGCATGCCAAAGCGTTTGCCACGTCCGAGCACACGACGCTGCTATTGAATGTACGTAATATATATATATATCAATTTCTTTAAAATATATATTGTTGAAAGAACGAGAAAATGTATGGTGGATTATTCGGTCGAAATACCCCGTCGAATCGACGACGCGATTGGCTCATCCGATTTGAAATGGATTTGATTGGCTCTTAAATAACAAGGACATGGCTATTTTCAACCAATCAAATCTTTCGTGTGATTCAATGTGGACAACCCACACTAATTTTTGTTTTTTCATACACTCCTTTTGACAATGATACTATTCCTTGCATTATTTCCTTCTCCTCGTCATCTTTATATCATAATTTCGTCCCGGTGACCTACGAAACGCAACTAGTACTACTACTAGTACTACTACTAGTACTAACTACTACTACTACATAGTGCTACACCAAGCTCAAAGACGTCAAGAAGCTCGACTCGTTCCTTCTCATTGACGACGACCCGAAAGAGAAGAAGCAGCCGCTGACATTTGACGTGGAGACAGCACTTACAGTGCTAAGGGACAATTACCCCACCCACGCATTAACATTAGCGAAAAAGCATCACGAACACTCGTGGTATCTCAAGATCCAACTGGATCGCATTCACTCTGAAACTCTGAGCGAGTCGGACCAGGCGCGGGTCCTCGACGCCCTCACGTATATCGAAGGTAAGAAATATATTGTCGATTTGATATTGTGCTTTCGAGTGGTTTCTTGTTGGAATGTGAATCGATTTGATTGGCTACTTCAGATGAGCTCAAAATTATGAGCCAATCAAAACCGGCTAAATGAAATTCCACAACCAATCAGATCGATTGTGGATCGGTTTCGTCGGCGCAACGATTCGATTGCACCCCAAATTTGTATCAAATCGACAATATACAAATTTGGGGTGAATCCACAATCGATCTGATTGGTTGTTGGATTTTATTTAGAAGGTTTTGATTGGCTCATAATTTTTAGCTCTTTTCAAGTAGCCAATCACATCGATTGACATTCCAACGACAAACTACAATGAAATTGAAAGCACTATATATATATACTAAAGTTTATGTTTGGGTTAGCAAGTACTTATATATATATATATATATATTGTAGGTCTGAGCTTTGGAGAAGCGAATTTGAACCTGCGCAAGTACGGCCGTACGCTGGTGACGCATGTACCTGGCCCAACCACCGAATTACTCAAAGCATTATGCACGGGAAGGTTCCACGACAGCACCGACAAGGCCGACCCAGCCAACTTTTTGCATCTGTTTGTGTCCCATCGCGCCCAGTTACGTGAATTTTTAGAGTATATTGTGGATGTCGAGACGGTGGCGAACCCCCAGATCGGCAACACGTTGCTCGAGATGGTGCTGGGCGACGTGGGGCGTTCGCCAGCCACGGCCGAAGAAGACGCGGAAGACAAGCCAATTATAATGGCGACGAACGAGGCCGCCGTGCTCGCGCTGCTGGACAATCCCCGCGTGAAATACGACGAAGACCACGCGCTCATTCTCATGCAAATGCACGGTAAGAACATCTCGTTCAATTTAGCATTGTTTAATATGGAAAATCGTTTTTTATTTTTTTTTATATATATTTTTTTTTAAGGAGTTGCATGGTTTGGTTTGAAACGATATATATCGTTGGGACGACTGGCGAGTGATAGTTATGTTTGTAGTCGTACGATTTGGGTTGTGGGATATATATATATTTGCTTATTGATTTCGAGCTAAATTGTATCGAATGTCAGGGATTGACTGGCTCTCGTTGAGTATATATATGTGGCTGTTGTATGAGTTCGTGGTTTACGACATGATATTTTATCTTTGGAACTATTTCGACTGCGATGATATTTATTTATACCATTTTTGGGTGTAAGGATATATGTTTCCATTGATTTCGAGCCAAATCATATCGAATATATATATCTATGGATCGCTGTTTTGTATTCCTATATTCTGATATATATATATATATATAAATCTATGCATATTAGGGTTAAAGCAAGGCAAGCGTTACTTGTACCAGAAGCTACACATGTACCACATGCTTCTACAGCATCACATGGAAGAAGGCGACGATTTGGCCGTACTGGACCAAGTCAAGCAGCATGGCGAGTCGAATCCAAACCTGTGGCTGCTGGCGCTCAAGTACTTTAGCGACCAGAAGGACCCAGGGCATCTACAGACGCTGCTGTCTTGGATGATGGACACGTCCGTGCCGGCGCCGCCGATCCCGCCGCTCCAGGTGGTGGCCATCTTGAGCCAGGCGCGGGACCTGCCGCTGTCGGTCGTACGGCCGTACGTGGTGAGCCAGCTCAAGCAAGATCAAGCGCATATTGACAAGGAGAAGGGCGAGATCAAGAAGTTCCAGCAGGATACCGCCAAAATGCGCGCGCAGGTGACGGCGCTGTCGTCGAAAGCCATGGTGTTTCAAGCCACCAAGTGCGATCTATGCAGCCACGACCTGGACCTGCCCGTCGTGCACTTTATGTGCGGGCACTCGTTTCACCAGGTACATAGTGTCATTCGATTCCCGGACAAATTGGACGATTTTTCGTTAAATCTATCTCGATATATATATATCGAGTATTCTTTGGACTGCATGTCAAAAGGTGGTATCAACTAGAATTCAAGTCATACACGCATTATGGTTGTTTCGTGCAATCTGATTGGCTAATAAATCGTTCTGCCAAATTTGGCAATAATATATATATATCTTGAATTCACTATCGGACACGGAGGAGGTGTTCAATGTGCAACTGTTCTTTTTTAGAAATTGTTTTGATTGGCTGAAATCTTGTAAAGCATGGATTTTGATTGGCTCGTTCCTTCTCAAATCGACAATTGTACTCCCAATGAAGAGATTGTTGGTTCCAAACGTGTATATATGTAGAATTGCATTTCCGAGACGGACCGCGAGTGCATGACGTGTGGCCCCGAGCACCGCCATTTCGTGGCGCTCCAGTCGTCGCTGCAAGCGAAAGCGTCGAATCACGAACTGTTTTTCAACCAATTGGAGACCGCCACGGACGGGTTCAACACCATCGCAGAGTACTTTGGCAAGGGAATTTTCAAACCCGTGGACGACGACGACGACGATGAAAACCGTGTCGCAGAAAGTGTCGGTAGCAACGAACGGTTTAGCAACGAGTATTAACCGTCCAGCTACTAAGGATGAGATTTCATATATTGTCGATTTGATAGTACAAATTTGGGGACGGGGTGCAATCGACCAAACCGATCCACCATCAATCGGATTGGTTGTTGAATTTCATTGAGAAATGGGTTTTGATTGGCTAATAATTCTGAGCTCTTCTCCAATCAAATCGATTGAAATTCCAACGAGAAAGTATGATAGTATGTCGGTTGTCTGTGTTGAAGGGGTAGGGGTGGACTAGGTGAGGTCGATGGTGACATGTTGGGATGGTGGCCGCTTGCGCTTTCGTAGGACGCTGTCGCAGATATGCAACCGCGATGTGCTGTGCCACTCGGAGCACGTTGGACATTGCCACTGTATCGCATCTTGTTCATCATATTCTTCTTGGATGCAGACAATGGGTTTAATATGGTTGGGCGCATGTGTTTGGGACGAGGATGGGACGTCGTGAGTGCATGTGACGGTGGCACACGCGACGGCATCGCGTAGCCGCTTCTCGGCAGCTTCCAGCACCTTTCCACGGAGTTGGGACGGAGAGATCGACGCACCACCGAGGCGATTCGTGGACATGATGGCTTGATGCTGTGTGGGATATGTGAGTTAAACGGAGATGGCAAGTGGAAATAGAGGTAGGTACCTGGATGCGCTTGGCGGCGGCGGCGGCGCGGACGCTGGCGAGTTGGGAGGGAAGGACACGGGTTCCACCCAACGACTATGGAGAGGATGTGATGGAGGAAGAGAAGGGACATGCGTGCCTGTCCATCGCCAGTGTCCTGAAACGCGGCCCCCGTCGCGCCCAGCAGGCCTCGCGCCATGAGGTTCTCCATGTCCTCGGTTAATTCGTCCAGCATCTGAGATAAGATCAGACAAAGGAAATAGAGACGTCGCAGAGTCTACTTTGTAGAAAGACGCGTCGTGAGGACCGATCTTCATGTGGACAAGTTCGTGGAGCATTGTGCCGAGGATTTCTTCAAAGGGAAGAAAGGTCGTTGGATGCGAGGCCGGGCGGACTAGGTCAACGAGCATGAGATAACTGGACGAATGACGAGGATACAGTGTGTACGTCGTAGGAAGATCTTCCACCCTTCGTTGACGTTCATGCCGAGGAGGTTGGCATTCTTGGGGAAAAACTCGAGCAGGTTGCGCACTTTGAATCGCCGCTTCGTGCAGATGGGCAACACATGCTCTGCGATTCTCTCCAAGATCCTCTGCGCTTCATCGTTCTTGGTCTGCTTCTTCTACAAGGCGTTGCATGAAGAGCGACTCGCATCATGGAGGCTTCTACCAGCGCTTGGATCGTCGGGATTGTCCATTCCATCTCGAGGACGATTGTTGCAAAATGACGCGCAAAGGCCTGTGATTGGTCAAAATCTCAAATATATTTTCAACACGAATATTTTGTATTTTTCATTGTTTTCCATTATTCTCGAAGTATTATAAAGCACTCTGGAACTTCACAGTGTTGATATGACATCTCCTTGACGAATCTATACCTATGCACGTAAATGGTTCAACTGGTCGTCGTCGGAGTCTCATAACATGACGCATGCTTCACAACCATCATGTTATCCTCGCATTTTCCCGCCCATAGGATTGGATTTCGAATTGGGAATTATCGGGAAATCTTTATCCGGATCCGAATGATGTTCTCGTGCTCATTTGTGGTTGGGGCGCTTCCCTTGGGCCGGATTTGAATTTTGTATACAAACTTCAAGTGTAATCTTCCTGCACACACCTAGCCCGAACAAATTAAACCGTCGAATGTACGGGAGGGTACATACGTACAATACAAGCGTACGTACATTATAGACACGATTATATTATACTCACGTACGTACATGAATGTACGATGATTGCCGATCGAGTTTTTGTGCGGCTCCCCGTTCGAAAAATCGGTCGAAAGGGGAAGTGAGCGCTCGCGGCACAAGCAAATCCGCCAACTACAAGACGATGGTACGTGTGTGTATGACCCAGGAATGGGGTTGCCGGTGCAAGGAAATGTAGCTCATGATGATCATGGGCTTTAGAGCACCAAAGCTGCCAAGGAGTCCGCAAAGGGCGGTGCTGCTGCCAAGGCCGCCAAGCACGTCGAAGAAGAGGAGGTTGATGCCCCCGAAGATGACGAAGGGGACGAGGGTGACGATAGCGTAGAAGACGAGGATGCTGAAGGCGGAGATGACAACGAAGAAGGCAACGACGACGATGACGACGATGGCGAAGGCGGCGAGGACGAGGAGGTGGGTTTAGCTTACTTGTACACGAACTTTGAGGTAGACCCATCGTTCATGTGGTGCTCATGTGGAATGATTCGTTATGCAGGACGACGAGAACGACGGTGAATTCGAAGGCGAGGAGGGCGGCGACGACGACGACGACGATGAAGACCATGAAGAAGAGGAAGACGACGACGAGGAAGAGGACGAGGATGAAAAGCCCCCTGCCAAGAAGCAAAAGAAGTAGAACGTGTCTCCACAGAGGGCGCCATCGATGACTGCCCCGCGCCTCATGGGCAGGGTCTGTTACTTTTTTTTTGTTTTTAACACCGTCAATGGATCTTTCGTATGCATTGGGTACATGACACACACCCTCGACCGAGTGCCATCGCGCTTCTAGTTTCTCATGCATGTTGAATGCGGTCATGAAGAAGGGTGCAAGGAGTTCCATGTGTCCAGGGCTAATGCACCGGGTTCAAGATGCAAACGGCGTGAGAACGACATAGTGGTTCAACCTCGTACTTTGAGAATCGCACTTATATGAGAGCAATTCCCACCCCACATGTGCAACGTGATATGATCATATTAGTGCCTCCATTTTTGCACAAGTATTCCTGGATCAGGCAGTAAATCGATGATAATTATATATGTTTTGATGTTGCCAAACCGAAGGAATATTGAATATATTCAAAACCATGTTTTATTATACGGGCAGTAAATCGATGGTAATTTCATTCTTTGATTACCCGACCATGGTGCGCTTCCGGCCGCGGGAACGCACTTGATATAACTTGTGGAAAGTCGCATCTGAGCGTCGCGACTTGGCTTTGTACGCGCGCAGAATCTCCGCCACCTGTCACGGACATCGCTTAGAACCACATCATCCTTGTACATGGAGTGTACCAGGGGTTCCGAGTGCACGTGGGTGCTTTGGAAGGCTCGCTCCATGACGTACAAGTCGACGGCCTTGTCCTCTGGCAACGGCTGCGAGTTAGCCAGACCAAAGTCGATCACCGTCTACGAAGAGCTTTATCGTCCGATGGGTGGGAGAAGGTGGTATGTACGATGGTGCTGAGACTGTCCTTCTTCATCAGGTTGGACGTGGTCAAGTCTCCGTGGACGATATCTGCGTCGTGCATGCGAGCGATGGCGACCCCAATCTGGTAGCACACAGCCAATGCATCCGTCGCATACTGCTGCGTGGTCGCGTTGTACGAGTCGTACAGGTACTGCTTCGCGCTCATGCCTTGGATACGCTCCATGTACAATCGGCCCTTCGCCTCGTCGATCAAGAAGATGCAAGGTGTGTCGACGCCAGCCTTTCGGCATTTGAAGTTACATCTCGCTTCTTGGACGAGGCGGCGGTGGCTGAGCTTCTTGTCCAGCTGTCGCAACCGATATGTCTTGACAACGCGTTCCTTGATAACGCAAGGTCGACCGGCAAAGTCGGTGGCGTACACGATCTACGTGGAATAGTATGAGGTCTTGATACTTCATACAAGACGGAGGGAACGCACAGCTTCAGCGCCTTGGCTCAGCACTTCCCACGAGCTCTTCTTGGCCGCGGTTGCCATGTTAATTTGCCCTCCAGAGGTTTCCGTTCCTGATCACGGATTGGCTGTCGTTCAAATTGCGACATTTGATTGGCTGGACAACTTTCAGTCCATTTGATTGGATCATAATTCCAATCAAATGGCCTTTATTTTACTGTTATTAATAATACCTCAAAGTAAGATAATTTTCCTTTGATTTGGATGCTAATTCTCAAAGTTATCACTTGACTTCGATCGGAATCGCGTCGTCGTCGATAGGTTTGTAGCTAATGTACGACATGTACGCGTTCCAGAAAAGGCCAACAACATTGGAAAATAGCACTATGAAAAGTCATAAGTTAGGGATTAAAAACTAGTAGGAAATAGCAACTTGTATCGTGAAGTGCAGTGTACACTGTACCTTGTAGGGGCGGGGGAACGAGGGCAAAGTTGAGCAATTGCGCAGGAATCCACACCACCCAGTTCGTTTGCACAGCAGACCACCAATCGCGACTCAATTTATCTTGCAATCGTGTCGACAACGAAGATGTGGATCCATCTAAACGGGAAATGATATGACATTTGTACAGCTGCACCATACCTGGATTAGGCGAGACGACCAGCAGCACCCCAAAGAATGACGCTAAGAACGAAGGGGCAAACACAAACTGATCCAGCACCAGCCGAGTGGCCACGGCGGTGGCGGCAGTTCCTGCCACGACACGGTTCAGGAATCCATACCAGACATGCAACGTGGGCGCGATGAAGACGCCCCCCAAGGCAGTGAATGTCGCGAATCGCCGAACATCGAACGGTTTCGATTCAAATGCCACTTGGCACAGCACATCGCCCGTGCCGGCGATCCCAGCTGACGTCAAGCACTTGGTCGTCAGCGGGTACGCTTCCAAGTACTTCTTGTACTTCAGCCACAACTTGGAGCCACCGGACGAATCTCCGACGGGAGGATGAACATTCGCTTTCGTCGAGTTCAGACGGAGCATCAACGACGATGCCGCAGTCCTGCGCACGACCCCGCATGATCGAGCAAACATCTCTTGTGTTGATGGTGCAAATCGATCTGTGTGAACTTGTTATCCGGACTCTTGAGCACAAAAATTTCCGTGATGACATTTTTATACAAAATATCTTATTTGTCCTACTTCGGAGACATCTATTAATATAAATATTTTAATATTTTTGCTCTTCGGTAATATATTTCTCGGATATGAATGCACAAGAAGTTCGGATATTTTTATCCGGTTTTTTTAGTGCTCCCACCCACCAAAGACCATTTTCGGTCGGCATCATCATGAATCATGCAATGATGGGACGGCAGCATGCGATGGACACGGAGGATGCTGCGGAACTGAACTTGGGGGAAGACTTCCAGCAGGAAACGTGCTTATCGAATGCGGAGGTTGCTGTGATTCTCGAGAAGCAAAAGTCGGATTACGAGAGCTCGGAGAAGCCGCTGACATCGGTATTCCAGAAGACGTATTCGTATGTGCAGCGGTTCTCGGGGACAAAGGACCCGGTGGCAAACCAGGCGAGTGTCACGGAGCTGCGCGAGGCACTGATCACGTACGAGTTCACGCGCGAGAGCCCGGACGATCCGACACAGGCCGTCGAGGTGCGGCTGGAAGAGTTTGAGATTGCCTGCTTATCGAATTTGAACCCCGAAGAATCGGAAGAAGCGATGGCGCTTATCCCGAGCATGAACAAGAAGTTTTCGGAGGACGACATCGAAGAAATTCTGCAGATCATTGCGCGCACGACGGCCCGCATGTACGCTTAATCGGACCCCTTACATCTTCTAGCACATCACTCAACTCTGTTGATAATGGAACGATGGGGCGGCGGCTTCCTTCTGAAGGGGTCTTGGGTTCTGCATTCTCCCCTTCTTCTTCCATGCGCTCCAGAATGACGAATAACCGAACCCACTTCCGGGTCATTTCTTGAACACATACATGCAGCTGGCGCAGACGCGGGTGCGACGGGACATGTTGGGCGTAGTCGTTCGTGTCGCGCCTCTGGCATGCCATTACGTACACCAAACGACCTCGAGGAGCGAGGTGAGTCGCCGCGAACAAGAGCAGCGGCGGCAAGATCGCATGCGGAGGCAACGCGGTGACTTTACCGATGGCGACGGAGGTCGATTGCGCGCTTTCCCTCATGCCGTAGGGTGGATCGCACACAATCGCGTCGAACTGCAGACGCATCGAGTTATGACGTTGGTCGAGCGGAGGATGCGCGACGTCCCAGCGAAGAAGGTCCGGGGCGGGAAGGTCATATTGAGCAAAGTTTGCCGCGATGTTGATGCCTGGCCGAGTGCCAAGAAGCGGTTGCGGGTCGATGTCTACAATGCAGGTTTCGAAAAAGATTCAAATCAACCGGATACGTGTATCCGGATGATAAACCATACCTCCACCGACGCACATGGCTCCAAATTGAGCGCAGGCGACGAGCACACTGGCGGTGCCAACGAAGGGGTCGCAGACGAAGGTGGACGGGACGACGAGCGCCAAGTTCGCCATGAGGAGACTGAGCTCATGGTCCATGGAGGTGGGTCCGATGAACTTGCGCTTCTTCAAGCGATGCTTGTCGATCAAGTGCCGCGTGGACGCAGAATCGTGCGATGTGGCCGTCACTTGTCGGGCAAAGATGACCTGCTTCACGTTGACTTCGCTGGTCAGTACCCCCTTGTCCTCGAACAGCCAGTACGCGAACTGTGCGTTCTTGAGCTGCACGACCCCGGGAAAATCCAGGACCGACGTGATCCGAAGTCGTCGGGCATCTTGTTCCTGCAAAGACAAGCGCAGGCCAAAGCAGTCCACCCAGAAGCTCCATGTCCCATCTGCCGGATGCAAAGGAGATTGCTCGGCCAAAACTTGCTGTAATACGTCGTCGTACGTTGCGCCACTGGCCAAGAGGCCGTAGATACCCTTCACCAATACGCAGCGCGCAGAGATGGCCGCAGCGACCTCGTCGGACGGCAGTGTGACTTGAACAAATGGCGACTGCGTAGTCCCATCAAGCGCTGTTGGAGGATGCGCATATACGGTGGAAGGATCGTGGATACCTTGCATCTTGAGAACTGCATCGAACTCGGCGAAGCGGAAGTCCACGTACCGGTGGTAGAAGTAGACGACGTAGCGCGGCATGTTGAGTTGACACCGTTTGAATGGTATGGCGGCAGTTCACTCAATAAAGTGCGAATAGTCGGACTTGGAATAATAATTAATTGTCCATCATTAAACTTTATCTCAGTATTGGGGAATTAAAATACGTTGCCAAATACCATCGTACAACGTGATTTACAAGAAACTTCCGCACTGACCACGCAGACAGGGGCGACGAACATGGAGGAGACCAAGTACCTTCCTTTGACAGAAGACCTGACGGTGTACGTGCCGGACAATGACATGCGCTACCGCACCCTGCTTCCGCCAGACTTTGATGACCAGTTGATCATGGAAGACCCCATGATTCCGTTCGTGTACACGCGCAACTTCCTTGTGATGACCAACCAGGGACTGCGGCACAAACACTTGGCTGGCGAATGTGCGCGTCCACAGGTCACAGCGACGAGGAGAATAGAAGACACACGCATGGCCAAGATTGTGGACATGATCTCGTGCACGGCGATTCAGGACCGCAACGAGACATGCTGCATGGTGCGCGTGCGGTGGCAGTCCGTAGACTGGACAGGGGACACGTGGGTACTGTCCACTCGCATCCAGAACACCGCACTGCTCCAGCAGTTCTACATGGGCGCGTCTTCGTCGTGGCAGACTAGTCACTTGATCACCAAGATGGCTCGATACAAGTACAGCTCCGAGGAGAAGCTCTGGGACGAGGAGCCTGGCATTTCCAAGTGGAAACGTGAGCATGGCATCATCGGGTACACGAAACCAGCATCGCGAGCGTCTACCCAGCCAACCCATCCCCATTCGACATCTTCTTCGACTTCCGTCGCCAGGCGGTCCGCCAGTCCCCGACGCGGAGCAGCAGCGGCCTCGTACTCCCAGAACCGTCCCATGCCGCCGCCGCCGCCGCAATATTCGTTCCATTACGCGCGCTATGGAGGGCCCAAGAAGCAGTCCCCCACCGCCGCCGAGCTGCGCATGCAAGCGTCCAAGCAGTACTCGGTCGCGGTGCTCTCATCAAAGCACACGTTTGCAGCCGACACCGCGCACCCTACTACTAGTCGGACTCTACGAGACAACTCCCACTCGCATCGGCGAGTGGAGTACCGGTCTCGGTCGACATCGCCAAGCCGGCACCGCACGGACAGACCCAATTCCCATCATCCCAGGGACAATTCCCATCATTCTAGGGACAATTCCCATCATCCCAGGGACAATTCCCAACGAAACACTGCTGGGTCATGGGGCACGAGTACCCCAGGCAGCCACCACCCGCCACCGCGGCAGTCGGGACCTGCGCGAACCGTGGTGAAAGTATCCCAACCGAGTGACCATGGGGAAGCCAGACCCCGCCAGTCCTCGTCCTCCTCAACCCGCAAAGAGGACGATCAGCCGACATCCAAGCGCGCCCGGACGTCGCCGGAAGTACGCGGTCGGATTGTAGGGCAAGACCGACTGGCGGTGCTGGCGGACCGCCGACTCAAACGCCAACATGACACTGCCCCCCCTCCTGGTAGTGCTAAGGGGGGTACGAGTGAGTGGCAAATCCCGAAACGCGTCGCGCCTAGTACTACTACTAGTACTACTAGTACGCCCCAAACATCCGTGGAGGCGGAAGTGAAGGAGGACGACGAGACTGCGCCGCCAAGTCCGACTGGAAGCCGCGGGTCTCATGCGTATTCGCCGCCATCGTCCCCTTGTCCGGTTCACAGGTCGTCGTCGTCCATGCCAAAGCTGCCACCGACACCTCACACGAAGGCTGCTAGTACTACTACTAGTACAACCCCCCCGGACTCCATCGATCCCCTAAAACCCGTCGACCCTCGTACGAAGGCTGGTAGTACTACTACTAGTACGACCCCGACTCCCTCCATCGACCAACCCATCGACCCTCGTACGCAACCACAGTCCAAGACTGCTAGTACTACTAGTAGTAGTCAAACCACACTGGCGGTGCAGGGCACGGCTTCCACCGACCCGTTAAAACCCAAAGACCCGCGAACTCGGGAGCCGTCGACAGCTAGTACTCCTGCTAGTACTACTAGTAGTACGCCGGCCACGTCAGAGGTCCCTTCAGACAATCCGTCAGCTTTGTTGGGTGGTTCTAGTTCTTGTGAACCGGACACTCGAGCCAACGCCCCTTCACTGACAGCCGACCGTCCAATCCACTCCCCAAATACCAAGCCAATGATTGGGGACTTCGGTTTCAAATCTGCCCAATCAAATGCGAGTACTGGATGGGGGGACTTGGCTGGGTCGAAACCATCTGGGGGATGGGGCAACCCATCGAAACGATGGACGTCCAACGATTCCACTTCTCGGGGTTATGGATCGTCAACCCAACCCAGTGACCCGCGTACGACTCCTACTAGTACTAGTACTAGAAGTACTAGTAGTAGTAGTAGTAGTACAATGAATGGAAACTCCACTCGTGGCTGGGGGGGGGGCGACTTGCCTCTGAGTGGGACGTCAAGGCCATCGGGGGGGGGAGGGGGGGGAGGCCCTTCGAGACATCCGTCCACCGACTCTCGACGGACGTGGGGGGGGGCAGACTCCACTCGTCAACGCTCGTTAGACAAGCGACCACGTGGCAGCCGCTCACGCAGCAAAACCAGATGTCGAAGCCGATCGTCCAGAAGTCGCAGCAGAGGAAGGCACCGCGAGCCCCCTAATCCCCCCGAGCAAAAAGCCCCTGAACAGCCAGTTGTTCCTTCGACCCCCCCACTAGCTACGACATCGTGTCCATTGGTGGCAGTGAAACCAGCGGCGCCTGCAATGTGGACACCGTACACTACCCCTCGTACGTCCGCCATCCAGTGCGTCTGTGGGGCCGACGCCGTCGACGATTACACGGGCGAATGGGTGCAGTGCTGGGGCGACGCCTGCTGCGGGTACTGGTTCCACACTACCTGCGTCGATATGCCGTCATCTCTCCGCCCAATCTTTCAGTGTCCATCGTGCTGCTCTTCCCCTACTTCTTCCCCCCCCCCCCCCCCCCAATCAATCAAACGGCTCTTCGACTGCTGCCAAACCAACTCGTGGCGCCTGTTTCACTCCCTATCATCCTCCTCCACTGCCGTCGACCTGACTTCGTTCCTGGCGTACCAACCCCCCCTTCTTGGAGGCTGCAATGGGCTCGTGGTGGCCGCCCAAGTCGGCGCCCTCGCCATCCTCCAAGACATGCTCCATATGTTTTCGCCGAATCAGGTCCAAAGCAGCGTCAACCTCCTCAACCAGACGCCGCTGCACGTGGCCATATTAAACGGCCACTTGCACTGTGTGCCAGTGCTCACCCAGATGCAGCCGCGGTGGCACCACGTCGCAGATGTATATAGCGCCCTCCCGCTGGACTATTTACTGCAAGTCCGACCGGCGGAGGTGCTGCGGCTGCTGCAAGACAAGCCCGACCTCGTACATGTGACCAACCCATCCACGGGCAACTCGATCGCGCACGCCATCTGCGCCATCGTTCCCCCCGACTTTGCCTCGTTGCTGGCCGTGATTCCCGTATCGCAGCTGTGTTCCGTCAACCACCACGGCCAAACGCCTGCGATGACGTTAATTCAATCCCCCCACGTTCTGCGACACCATTTCGAGCTGCTGGTGCAACAGCTGGCATCATCCCCTGACTGGTGGACGTGCGTGGATGACCAGGGGCGGTCTGTACTGCACTTTGCACTCATGTATAAACACCCTTGGGCGCTGGAAGTGGCAGATTTGAGTCGATTTCGCCACTTTCAGCTGCTGCACTTGGCGGCGGAATGCGCGCTGCCGTCTGCCGTGGCCCTGCTCGTTGCTGCAAAGTTCTCCCCGCAGCAATTGCACGGGACCAGTCGAAGTTCTGGAGCCACATTGGGCACGGGATGGTGGCCCATCTTGCATGCGACGTCGCCGGGCTGCGTGCTGGAGCTCCTGCGGGTGGACACTGGCGCCCAGCTACAGTACTTGTACCACCAGAGCCAAGCTCACTCGACCAAGGTGCTAAGTATCCTCAACTCGATCGCATCACATCTCCCGCTGTACGACTTTATTCAGGCCACGGCGGCAGCTAACCCCCACGAGTACCTCGGTAGCCGCTGCCTGTTCTTGCAGCGCTACCGCAAGTGTCTTCGGCTAGACTTGAAGCTCACGCAGCTCAAACTGCACGTCGCGTCGCTGATAGTGGTGCCATCGCGAGCAGCCAAGCGGGTAATCACGGTGCCATCAGAACGGGACCTCTGGAAGGTGCTTCAGTCCGCAGTGATTTCCACGTGGAAGTGCCCGATTCAGGTTGAAATCGCCGGTGAATTGCACAGCTCCAAGGACACGCACATGTGGACGGTGCTGGCATCGCAGCTGCGCCAGCTGGGGCCGCACTTGTTTGCATCTTCTTCGCGAGTGTTTGAGCTGCTCGGCAAGTTGGTCGGCCACATGGTGCTCGTAGGCCAGCAACTGCCGTCGGCCGTGCTGCCGCCCTCGTTCCTGAGCACCCCCGCCGAGTTCAAGCCCGATTTAGCGCTCGATTTTAAAAAGGGCTTGGACTCGGTGTTGCCAAACGCCCTGGACAACTGGAATGGCTACGAGCGGTTCTTACTGCTCCATCGAGTGATATTTCCCCAAACCATGAGCCAGTGGAAAGCCACGAAAGTGCACTATGATAAGCCCTTTCACGCCCACCACCCATCCATACTGGCCTTCTGGACTGTGATTGAGAAGCATCTGGTGCCGCAGGAACAGCTCGTGTGCCGGCTGCGATGCGGTCAGCCCCTGCGCATCACCCCCGCGCCGACTGTCGGCATTGTCGAGAAGTCCGTGCTCGGCATCCCCGAAGCCATTTCCATGGACAGATTGCATGTCGACTTGGTGCTGTACATTCGAGGGTTTCGAAAGCATGCCAAACATACGTAGCCAACCAGATATAGTACTAGTTCGTGGATGTAGTAAAGTGTACGGTAAAGGTCGATTCCTACTATTATTTATTTTCCCATAGTATGAGCAAAACAACTCGTTTCGAAATTACTCGTTGGAATTTAAATCGATTTGATTGGCTACCTCAGATGAGCTCAAAACTATTAGCCAATCAAAACCATCTCAATGAAATTCAACCAATCAGATCGATTGTGGATCGGTTTGGGCCCTCCCCAAATTTGTATCAAATCGACAATACGTCGTACGACGTATTAATAAGTGGTAAATCTATCAATCATTTCCGTACGGAGGTAGTAAGTACTACGTCATAGTGCACCACAGTATACTAGTAATACTATTTAGAAGTAAACGATGAACACACGAGGAGACTGCGCCCAAAGCGTAAGCGGTATACAGTTCAGCGTCATGTTTTACAGGTATGATATATTATTCACGCGTCTCCATTTTGCCAAAAAAGGGAATATTATTCTGATCAGATTTGTTGAATCTGGCCCCAAAATGGCGTTTTGGGTGAGAAGTACTATAATAATAATACGTACTAGTAGTAATACTAATACGAAGTAGTAGTACTTTAGCTAACATCAATTGCTGCGTTTGATCATGGCCTAGTTGAAGCTAATCATACATTGGCAGCGGAATGTGACAATGAATTGTCCAACTATTTCAGGTGCGTCTATAATTACATTATGTACTGGTCGGACTGTACTGTAGTGGCAGTATATTTGGACATATAGTAATACTACTGTGATATATATATATAATTGAGGGGTATCAATGCGCGGCCACAATCGTGTCCACGGGGGGCGGCATGAACGCGATCAAGTCGTCGTTCGGAACAGCGATGGTCTGTTTCGAACAGAGCGATTTGTCTAGTCGGTCGTGCAATGCGGCGAGGTACTGTGACGTGGCAGCATGTGGGACGGGCACCGTGTCCAACGACGCCGGCGCCGTCTTCAACGCGTTCGGTACACCGTCCGCTTCCGAGCTAGTTGCTGCGTACGCCGCCAGCACCTCGGCGCGTTTCTGGCGCGCTTGGTCGACCTGGATATGCGAGATGAGTTTGTGTAGAACTAGGAGGATTCTATCCAACCTCGAGGGGCTCGGGGACTTCGGAGATGTCGATCAGCGCGTGCTCGGCCTTCTCTACAATGAGCTGCCACCGATCGGTCTCGGAAATGTGCTTGAGATGGCCGGTGGATCCAATCGATAGGGAGGAGTGGCGAATGTGGTCGGTGTGCAGCTCGACGTTCTTCTCGATCTAAGGCAGACTGCATGTGAAGAAAGCAATCAAGGGATGTGCGTACCTCGAAGAAGTGCTGGAGGGAGCGGTCGTCCAGGATGCCAGGAACTTGAAGGAGGCCGTCGAGGTAGAGTTGCAGGCCGGCTTGACGTTTCGAGATGAAGTTCGGGTCGAAGCTACAACGTGGTCAAGGATGAAGGGAAGAAGTGATAGATGAGAAATCCTCGGACGGGGCTGCGTCTATCGTGAAGCTGGCAAGGACAAGTGCTGGGGGACCGACGACTGCGACGTGCACAGGCATGCTCAGATAAGATCAAGTGATTTGGCATTCATGCGATGGAGCCACCAGTGATGGCCATCGTCCTCGTCCTTCGTATCCGCATCGTGCCATGCGTTGCCACAGCCTCCAGTCCAGACACATTGCCCCCGCCATCGCTTCGACCTCTCCCCCCATAGACACATGCAGATGGAGGTTCGCGACGTTGCAATCCCCATGTTTCGTCATTGATTTTCTCACACGGACAACCCCAAAGTAGATGGAGCGCCTACCGTCCAAACCACTGCTTCTCTGGAAGTCGAACCGTGAGCGAGTCGTGGAAGACACTCTCGAGTTTGCAATGCAGTTGGTCAAAGTCACTGAAGCGCCGAGAGATGAGCCACACCACGCCGCTGCAGCTGATCTGCTCGCACGTCATCCCAGTCAGTCCCCTCATCCCCACACGCCGAGACGACTTCGTACCTGGACGACGAACTCGGTGTGGTCGCCCACTGTTTCATGGCCGGTGATGAGCGCACTGACGTTCATGTTTGGATGATGCTCCACCTCGCGATTCTTCCGGATAAAAATGTGGTATCTGGAAAGCAGGGACAAATTCTCCGGATCAAAATGGAATTATCCGGATATTTCTTTTTGGGCCAATATGATTAGTATTTGAGCGTGTGAAATTTGCAACGAAACACTAAAAAAATCGTGGAGCTCGTACTAACGTCCGGGTATTAACAGTACAACAATCACAGTAATGACATAACTACTACTACGTAGTGCTAGTAGTACATGATATTGATATTACGCTCTAAAGTTAAAGTCACTCAGCGGGGTACTAGCTGCTTTTGGAGCTAGCAGAGTAATAGCATAACTACAGTACCATAACGTTATTACTGAAGTACGTAAAACCTCAATTGAAGTCGTGGTGATGGTCAACTTCTGAGCTCGTCTGCACAATCCCATCAGATATGGTCGCTTTGATCAGGTTGGGCGTTGTAAACATGCAACCATGGTTTCCATTCACTTTTATAGCGCCAAAAGTAACGTGTCGTACGTTGAGTTGGGACCGAACGTACCCGTAGGTAGCGGTGTAAGCTACATACACAAAGTGGTGTGCTCATACTGACCAACTTCGCTGCTGTAGGTTCATGTCGGACGCTCCGTGAGGATGACACGCCCAGTGTCACTCGATATTTATCTCAATCTAGCCAATCAAATGGTAATATTACCAATGTCTACCCTGGGATTGGCTGTTTTAAACTTGGCTCAGTGTGCTAATTCCAGTAAGTTACGACATAAGTATAGGCATGGTTTGTGCTTCTGCCGCAATCATTCCTGCTGGTATGTCTCGACCTCATGTCTCTCAAATAAGAAGCAGTGCAAGTTCCTACCGCAGCCATAGGAAGGCCAATTACAGGTATACTACGTACAAGTATCTTTGGAGCTGTAGGATTCCTTCCTTGTTGTCCAGAAGAGGCAACTTTATCACAGTGGACAAACCCATGTTGAAGCGCTGAACGGCAAGTGTGTCACGGGGGTACTACGTAGAACTAGTATTGCACACCTTGACAATACCAGCAACCATACAAAACGCAAGTGGATTTCGACGAAGCCTCTCTGTTTTCGCTTGAGTATCGTATGGCGGGCCACTCTCTGAGAGTGGCTTTGAATCTACATACATTACGCAAGTGAGAGTGAGTGGCAGGCCAGGGACACCTGTGATTGGCAAGTTTTAACCAGTGTATCTTCGAGTCACGGTGCACCTCCACAGTTGTTCTCACCAATTTCAGCATTCTGCTCTGATCGACGGGAACCATCATTTTCACTTTCCCATCCAACCCCCTGCTGTTGAATGCACAACGGCCGCTAGCTTGCTATGGTCGCCACCGTTACCTCCATGTCCCTTGTCACTGCGTCGTCCCTTTCCACCAAGCCGCAGCTCGTGTCTTCAAACATCGCGAGCTCCACCGACTCCTCGACCGCCCCAACCTTGTTGCACGATGCGTTCCGCCGTAGCATCTCGGCGCCGACGGACCGCGTTCCCGCCCAAGACCGCCGATTCCAGCGCAATATCCACCACCTGCGCGATTCCCTGGACGAGACGTCGACCAACTTGCATGCCGCCGCTTGTTTCGATATCAACGACGACGACGACGGCTGGGGCTGGTTCGAAGACATCGACGATGTCCACGTCGTGCTCCCAGCCACCTCCTCCACAACCAACAACCCCCCATCCCACGAACCGCTGTACGCATCCGACATCGTTCCCCAGCACCACATTTTGAAGTCATTTCCGCCGCTCGTGGACCTGCTGTACGAACCTCCGTTCGCGTCGAGTGGATTTGAGTGGCTAGCCCACCTGAGCCCCCGTCGGCCGCAAGCTGCCCGCCTGGAAATCCGCAGCTTCCGTATCGTCCAAGATGCCGACGGGTACGACCGCCATGCAGAGTACTGCATCCAGTGCTGGATCGGCGAGGCCTCCCACAGCGTTTGGAAGCGCTTCGCCGCCTTCAAGCGCTTTGCATACACGCTCAAGATCAACGGCTCCAGACGGACGCTGCGCGCGTGGAGCGACGTGCTGGACCGGTCGTCCTGGTTCAGATCCCTGGATGTGTCGTACTTGCACCAAATGTGCTGCCTCCTAGAGACGTTTGCCCAAGTGTTATTGCTCGAAGCGCAGACGCCGTATCTGCTCGCGCGGTTTCTCGAAGCGGAATAGAAAGCCTTTCGCTCGTAATTTAGGTGATATCTAATTTATTGGTAATATGAATACTAGTACTACTACAACGATTACAAGTACTAATAATTAGTCTCACAGTCAATACGTGGTAGTATTGTGGTGACGTAGTAGCACTGTAGTAGTTCCCGACACTCTCATTAGTATTACTGTATTTATGTCAAGTCGAATCGAAATTGCAGTGTGTTTGGGTGCTCAATCGAATGAGCAGACTAACCGAATCGGTAGACAATCGATTGGCTCAACATTGAATTAGTGTGTGATTGAAATTAGTGTGACACTGGACGATCTTTACATGCAAAAGTCAGTACAAACAATCGATCGATAGATTTGACGAATCAGCACAAAAGTCCAAATTTACTGTACGTTTCAACAGCAATACTGGTATTTCAATGCTAGAACCAACTTTTGCAAAAAGCATGGTTGCCAAACCACGACATTTCCCAACTCGAGTAACCAAGCACGCCACTCAACTTTGTGTTTGTCAAGGCTGCGACGCCCCCACACCTGGTCCAGGTGCCTCTTCCACCGAGACAGACGCGATTGAATCGCAACCACTCGCAATACGTAACTTTAACTTTTTAGTATTTTTATTTACAGTTAGTTCACAGTAAAAAATGATACTAAGGTAATCCATCATTAGTGGAAAAGGAAATAGAGGAACCAAGTGATCGTCGGACCGTTTGTCCGACTTCTTGTCCTTTGTAATATTTATTATATAATGATACTAAGGTAATCCATCATTAGTGGAAAAGGAAATAGAGGAACCAAGTGATCGTCGGACTTTCTTGTCCTTTGTAATATTTATTATATACAAAAGCAAAGTCAAAACCAGACGTGAGATATTGACAGAAGATAGTCGGACCGAATGTCCTGTATCCATTGATTGGTTACAAGTGCAATTTGACCATGGCAGATGAGCAACATAATGAAGTTTTGCCTGCAACCCGCCAGCTAGAAACGACAGTACAGTACCTTAGAGAGCCTGGTACTACTGGAGGTGTGGTAGTAGTGGTAGGTCTGGCTGTGGTGGTCGTAGGATAAGCAGTAGTGATTGCTGTGGTGGTGTGGTAGTAGGGGTTGGTCTTGCTCGGCGTCCTGATTGGCTGTTGCCAGGTACCTCAGAATTCCCCATTAAAGGTAGGTAAGCTTACACTTTAGGTGTTTTGAAGGTAGGGTATACCTGCTGTGGGGGAATTAGTCCATCTCAGAACTTATTTCTGTAACTTCCGTGTAGTACTTGGCTCCTGAGAATAACTACCGGTGGTTCTGTGACCAAGTCCTTTCAGAATAAATAATTCTGCTTAGGGTGTGTCTGGTGACATTTCAAAAATAATATTCCATTTTCTCGCAAAACGGGATCAACCAAAATGCCATTCTCAAAATGGAGGTAAATGGTCCATTGTGTAATATGGCGTTTTGGACCTATTCAACGAGTAAATCTTACGCGGAATTATTGGATTTGGGTTCAAACTCTTCAAGCAAGACACGTTTCAATTTTGATAAGATTTGTTGAATTCGTTCCCAAAATGGCGTTTCGGGCCTGAAAATTGCAAAATTTCCGTTTACCAGACGCACCCTTAAATAAAAAATAACCCTTGGCGAGAATATTTTTCCTACCTCTGACCACTCTTACGTTGCGATCGCTGCGGAGACCAAAGGCAATGTGCAGGTTCCGAGTTTGAGTTCGGGCAACTTACTATTAGTATCAATTTTTGTCGAATTTGGACTTCCTACAATTGTATTTCAAATGCCCTAGCCCATCAAATTGCACTTATGATCGCCGATGATAGCCATCTCGTGCATTCACGCGAAGGGCTCGAGACGTAAGCCAATTGTTTGGTCCAGAAGTTTAGCCCAGCCAAAAAGCATAACTTTAAATTTGTAAACCATAAATTGAAAAAGCTTTAACTCTGCCATTAATAGTACAGTACTGTCAACTTGTCAAATACTACTTCGAAGTAAGTTACTCGAGTACTTCGAAATAGTACTACGTAGTACAGTTAGTACCTATTATACTGTACTTCCCTGCTCAATCGCTCCCATTGGTCAATCTGAAATTTCTTGTCCCTGATTGGATACAATCCAAATTTGACGATTTGGCTATTAGCCAATCCGATGTCTCAGCCTGGTACTACTGCTATTAACCCCGAAGCCATTCACTCGGGCGAATTGTCCAAATCTCTCGGATGAACCATGGCACGTGAAATAACTACCACCAATTTCATTTTCAAACTCGTAAACATTCGTCAAAATGTTTTCTCGTCCAATCAAACGCGCTCTCAATTGATCTTTTGTCAAGCCATTCCAACCATGTAGAGTGGGATATACCGGTCGCACACTCCTCGAATGACCACTTTAGGCAATAATCATCTCCATTTTGAATTTACCCATCGACCATGTCAAAGTGCTTCTTCAATGGATGCGACAGCGAAGCCTCGGATGGATGGCGCTGCTACTTCCACCGCGGCCGTGGCCGTTGCTTGGTGGACTCCTGCCACAACCAAGCCTATGCTCGCCAATTGTGTGCGCGCCATGGCGGCAAACGGCAGTGTCGGTTCGCCGGGTGTGCTTTTCGGTCCCGGACTGGCGCGTACTGCACCAAGCACGGCTCCACGCGAATAGTTTCCACGTGCTCCCGTGACGACTGCTCCAACTCAGCTCAGTTGAGGGGTCTTTGCGTCAAGCACGGCGGCGGCCGATACTGCAAAATGGATGGATGTCGCACGTTTGCCAGGACTGGTGGCTATTGCGCGCGCCACACACGAATTCTCCGTGAGATCGTCCCAAAGGAGGCAACAGACATCGATTTGAACTACGTGCATGCGTTCAACCACGACAACTTCTCGAGTAGCTTCGTACAGTGTCACAGTATCGACAACGACGGCGTCGACGTTGAGATCTTGGACATAATCCTCAACATGTAACCTACCTACCTACTATATATAATGACAACAGAGGTGATCTCGACATTGCATTCTCATCAGCTACAGGGAGTGTGGTCATCACGACCCTTGAACACACTAATAGAATTCTATGGCCCCAGACAACAATATTGGGGAATCAACCACCTCGTGGAAGTAGCACGTTGTAATAAGCCAACTGTGACGGAAACCCCCCGGAAAACCCGGGTTATACTGGCAGGCAGAATCGAATGAATGCATCTTGTTTGTACTGCATTATTGCTTGATTGCATTTCTGCTCGGCAATCTGTCCAAATTCACTGAATACGAGTAACGTGAGTACTGTGGCATGATAACGACATGCCTTTGCCTACCACCTTCCATTGGTTTTGGCTTTAGATATCCATTTCCGATCACGAGCAGTTACGTGGTCGGTTTCACTGTCCAACCAAGGCAGTTACAATCAATATCATAATTGAACACGTAATAACAATGAAATATATTTCGAAACTGGTACTGATTTAGTTGGTCGTCCACGACTAACACTACTCATGTATGCCGTGGACGGCGCTGGAGCATGGCTTTATTCGTCGTCGCTGTCGTCTTCTTCTACGTACTGGCCGCCCGCTCGATTCCGATTCACAAACAGCATCGGGTCGCTGTCACACTCTAAATCGTCTGAGGTTTCCTTCGTGCTGCCAAGCGCCATCTTTCCCAGGGCAGAGGCCGCGTCGCCGTCCGCCGCCTTTGGTTCGAGGTCAGCCTCGTCCACGTTGAAAGAGTCAGGCCACAAGTTCTGCTTCTTCAACTGCTTGATCTGGTCTTTGTATAAAATGTGCTCCACCGAGTAGTTCACAGCTCCCTTGTGTGCGCCATGGGCTACAAAGGAATGTCAAGGACATCGGCAAACGACAGCACCCACCTGCCGCAACGATCAAAAAGTCCCCACGGCGGATCCAAATAAGCTTTCGGTACTTGGTGGGCAGCATGGCGATGCCGGTTTCGCCTTCGCTCGTCACAATCTAAGGGACACACAAGCGTGTCAAAACCGAACTCGTCCTCTTCAGTGGGTCGGACCTCGAACAAGTTGCTTCCACGCATTGCTTGGACCTGAACGATCACTTCGCCAGCTTCAGGCACAGGTTCACCATACAGGACGTCTTGGGTAACTCCTTTGCGATATCCGCTCTTACGTCCAGCTCCACTCATGATGCGGTCGTCTTGAAGATGATGATTGTGTCAAGCGGCAGAATCAAAGGCAATTTCATTGGTTCTAACGAAATTATCCGGATATTCATCCGGTGTGTAAAATAATATTTCTCCCGAATATAAACACCGTCGAATAGAAAAGACTGAGGAACGACGATCACGACGGCAATATTCGTGGCCTGCCGGTCCATGGCAGAGACATTGCTCCAATGCTGCTACTATACGTAAGGGCCGAGTTCCGTGCCACATTTAGAGGCCCTCAGTTGGAGATCTTCCTGACGTCCAATTTGCTACTAGTATTATAATAGTGTTTTTTAATCACGAGGAAAAATGCAGATTGTGTGACTTGAAATTGTATTGAATTTCGCATTAGTTTGGAAGTAAAATGGCCTTGAATATTCGAAATCTCGATAGGCTGAAAACAAATCAGTGCCATTTTATCCGGATGCAAAAATGCAGTCTCGAGTATCAGAATTTCAAAGACGCGTTCTATTGGCTATAATATATGGTCAAATATCGACCGAATTGACCTATCAAAGCCGTGGCACGGAACTGTGCCCATACGTTCGTTGGCTCCTCCTAAAGAAACAAGTTCACCATGGCACCTCCATCTTGTCGGATAAATACAGTTGTGTGTCCACCGCAATACTCAAATGACAGCATAAAATGCCAATTTATGACGTACACCTTGCTTCATCTTTCGAATTCTGTAAAGGGTCCTAATGAAAAGTGCCTTATAAGGCCCTGGACGCTTATTAGGGCATCCCCACCGGTAAGACTGTATAATCAGACTGTAAAAGGCCGTTTTACAGTTACTGTATTTTGATTTTCGTCAACCCCAGAGGTATCCGGAGATGAACCCGAAGGCATTAGTTTGCTTTGGACATCCGAAGATTGGACATCCGAAGATGAACCCGGAGGCATTAGTTTGCTTTGGACAACGGTGATGATGTGGAATTCACTTGTGAGATCCTTGACCACCTTCCCACCCTGTATAGTCAATAGTAGGCCGCCACTTTAGGTACTTCGAAGTATATGGACTCACCATGGACGATGCGGTTGAGAATGACGACGGTTCTAAGCAACGGGTTGATGGAAGGAAAATCGGTCATTCACACCTGAGAACTTGTGTCATTGCTCAGTGAAGGTTGTGCTTTGGTTGGGCTGCCGATGCACTTGACGAGTTTAGTGAAGCGTGAGCCACGAGCGCGGTTGAAGGATCCATTTGCTCAAAGGAAAGTGATTATTGTATTGGCTTGCTGTCAACTACTGGCACATGATACCGATGATTGGACAAAATTATCCATTGATAGCATGTTATTGGCTAATTCGTCAAAACTGTATTTTACAGTTGCGACTGTAAATCTGGCCGATTTGCCGACTCGCGGTAAAATTTTACAGTTTCGTGTATTTTACAGTCGCCCGGAGGGGTTATCAAAACTGTAAATAATCCGGATAGAACTGTAAAATAGCGTTTACAGTCGCACCGGTGGGGATGCTCTTAGACCTCATCTGGATGCCACCATCAACCATACAGTATTGGCAAGTCTGCAAAAATATCACAAAGTCTCATTTCCCATGAAAAAAGGAGAAATTAAAGTATGTCTGGATGCCAGCTGAATATTGGAAAAATGATTCGATTTCCGATTGAAGTGCAAGACTTCAACATGAATACAAACCTCCATGAAAAAGATGTGCAAGTATTAATATATATATAACGTTATATATATATCTTCACCGAATAGATGCGAACCGACTTCATGACAGCTACAGAAATGACAACTTCGAGACAGTTGGTCGAGATGTTGCAGTGTCGACAGTGCATTAGGTACTTACTATTCAATAGATATTGGAGCTAGTTTGACGTTATGTAACCTCAGTCGATACATTGGAGTGGGTATCATCGTCGTCCGTGTCTGGGTAGTCTACTGTATTCCACGGGTTTTGGCAGTAGGTCGTGCCGTCGGTGTGGGGCGTGAGGTAGCTGGCTCCACTTCTGGCACTGTAGTAGCTATCTTCAATACTCAACCGTCGGTCTTCAGGGAGGTACCCACCCCAGCCATCTCGAGCACGAGGCGCTTCGACCTCTGAGCCCTCCTCAGGCCAATCTTGCGCTACAGATAGGCAGGTCGAGCTGTTGTTCCAGTGATCGCTGCTACCGGGGGTTTCCGCCGCCGACCCCGGAACGCGCGGGTTCGATGACTCTGTTGGCGACAACCAGATGGGATCGTCCGCAACGATGCTCCCCATGTCCATAGACGTAAATACGTGGGGAGAAGGCAAGTCGAGTGTTGGCCAGACGACTGCCTTGGTCGAATTTAGAACTGCATGGTAGGGCTGTTCAATCAAGGACTTGGTCGTGCTGTTGGAAGTGCTCGCGTTGCAGAGCTTGGTCAAGGCTCCACGTTTGCGCCTTCGCAACGTCATGTACACACCACTCGCGAGAAGTAAAGCGATGACTCCCGCGCCGGCCACGATGTATGGTGTCAAAGGTGTTGGACCGGCTAACGCATCTACACTCATGGGAACTTGAGGCTACAGAACTCGTAGGTGAAGGGACAATGGACATACCTTCGGCAGCGGCGGTCAGCACAATGATCGCGACGAGAAGTGAGCGAGAATAGATGGTGGAGCCGTGCATGAACGTCCAAGGAAGGCGAATTTCGCGAATGGACCATCAATGGGCAGCCATATATTGTACCCGCTGACTGCATAGCTGCTTCAATGAGCGAGTCTCTGTAGGTCCACAGAGTTGAAGTACCGTTGAAACCATATGGAGTACCCAGGCGTACTTTCGGTGACGTGCACGATTGGGGCTCACTCCTCGCCACACAAAATTATACACTCGACCTCCGCTACGCTACTGTAAGATGCGCGCAATTTTGTGGGCGGATGCTCTGTCGTCATAAGGCTTGGTCAATGTGTGTAAAATAGAAAAGAAAAAGATAGATATTGTGAATTCGCTATAAACTTCCAAAATATTCGCCTGGTTTGTCGAATCAATATTGAATCACGCTGGAGTTGTGATTGGTTGAATATACGTGCACTCAAAAATGGATTAGCCAATAGTGTCGATTCGTGATTCGATTTGGCGGTGAGATTCGATTCGACTGGGTCTGGAAATTCGTATCGAATCCACAATATAATGGATCCACAATATAACGGATATTTATACCTGCCAAATAGTTAAGGACTGGTCTGGATGCCACAATAATAGAGACTTTTAGCAGGTTCGAATTTGGCCAAATTCCTGAAATCTTCTTCGTTCAATAATTCGAAAAAGTTCGGGAGCGGGATATCAAAAAGTCTCTAATCTGTCAGAAATCGATCATTTTGCCAGGAAAAAGCTTGAATGTAAGTAAAAAATAGAATTCTATAAACAAACCTTAGATCTTAATTTGAGTATGCACCAACAGGTTGTACGAAAGTCCACCATTCTTATTTGAATACTGGTATGACACTGTACAGTGCGCCTCTGTATTTCCTTTCACAACTACATACGAAACGCAAGTTTAAAATATACGAATTAAATTGGAACTCAAAATTATACTAGTAGAGGATCCGCGTCTAATTGGTTCCAAGGAATCCAAGCCTTTGTATAAGAGCATTAGACCATTATCATGGAGTGTTCATCTCGGAATTCTCTACCTTCAGGGCGGGTCTGGAGGCCACTAAAATGGCATAAAATGACCGTTTTTCGAAGAAAGATGTCAAAATCGAAATATTCCATTTTTCAAATTTTTGAGCGTTTGTGAATTTCATTACTTTATGCCACAATTTTCTTGATAATGTTTTATAGCATAAAAAAAGGATCGATTTGGTCCAACATTGAAGGAGAAATTGGTTGCAGTCATTCGGATATTATCCGGACGCGATGTTTCACTCGATTTGTGGATCCTGCACTTTTATCCGGATATTTTTGATCCGAAGCGCCGCAAGTGCCATGAATGGGGTCGAGGGAGGCAGCGGTGGTGGACCTAACGACGACAAGTTCGTGTACGCGGAAGGCACGGTGGATGAGAAGGTTGGTTTCATCTTCGACCGCATGAAGGAGTCGTCGTTCCTGGGGGACTGCCGCAACAAACTCAAGTCGGAGCTCAAACGCCAACTCAGCAACATGGATGACGACGACGAAGACGACGTAACAACCTCCTCAGCCTCTCACGCTCGCGTTCTTACCAGTATTGCCTAGTTCCATGTCAACTTGACGTACATGATGCAACGCTTGGGTCTCGTGCACGCGATCAAGACGTTTGTCATGGATATCCACACAGAAGGCACCAAGGACAAGCGCGACTTTGGCAAGCAAAACGCCATCTTGGTGACAATGGACCCCGATCGACGGGAAACACTAGACGCGATCGAAGTGGCGAGAAAAGCATGGGAAGCCTTCACCACTGACGCGTTGCGCGAATACGTCCGGCAGACGGCGATGCCCCTGGTGGTCCACCACCAAGTGCTGGCGGCAACCAAGGAGACTTCGGAGACCTCTAAGCCGCATGTGGCCAGTCAGTTCCTCTTCTCAAGGTAGACATTCCCTATTCGTTCCTTCTAATGTCCATGTAGCGAGGCCTTCCTTGCGGCCCTTCAGCGCATTACGCCGCTGAATCGATCTCCACACGTCCCGTCGCATCCATGGAGCTCTATCCACCCCCTCCTGCGAACTCGAGATACCTTTGAAATGCAACAGCGGTACACTGTAAGTCAATTTTATATTTCTATTTTTCCCGTGTTTTTGAAATATATTTGTGCTTGATACTAGGAATTATCACCTGCACATGCCCAATATGGGGTGGACGAAGACGTGCCAAATATCCACGGGGATTATGTATACATTGGAGGAAAGAACAAACTCGGCGATAAAGTGCTAAGTAACGGCACAGTACCGACCGCAAGGCAATATGCCAAGACAGGAAGCCCCATCACCCTTCGGCCGCATGTAAACCCACGATCTAGCTTGTCATAATGGTAATCACAATATGCTTATCTTTAGATCTGGCGGCAGGCGCTGAGTGTGGCCATCGATCCCATCTACTTTAAACAGTTAGAAGCCAAAGTGAAGGCCTCGACGGTAGTTACCGACGGGCTGTTCATGCTGGACGTGCAGCAGACGACCGACAGCTCCGACTATTTTCCGTTCGAAGATCATTTGCGCAGCGTCATGCTGGCCTTCTCCAGGGACGAGCAAGGTAGATGCGCATTCTGTATGAAGGAACTCGAGTGATGGAGCAAGTAGTGGCGTCGCAAGCGGTCATGACACTGCAGCATCCCGTCGTGTTTCAGAGCAATGCATCGTGTTCCAAGATGGCGATTCCTCCGGCGAATGTCATGCCATTCCACGGACTGGTCATGTTTGTCGCACCGCTGTGCTACCTCTACGACGACCCTGTGCACGTGTACTTTGTGTTTCGAGACATGTATTGTCGGTATTGGTGTCAACTTACCGGCATCTCGGCCCGACCGAACGCGATCTTGGCGCTATGCAAAACGTTTGAAACCCTCATCCACCGCCATATTCCTGCAGTCGTGCAGCATTTACTTCAGGTACGACACGGCGGATATTGAGATAGTCGTACCCAGTACCGCGACTGTAGCATGATATCGTCCCGCTGGTGATTGCATTTCCGTGGATACAAAGCGCGTTCTCTGGCGTGTTAGAGATCGACCAGGTAGCATGCACATTATCATGGAGACATGTGAGGTTCTGATGGGAGGAACGCAGGTGCTGCTGTTGTGGGATCGTGTGGTGGGGTACGACTCGTTGGAAATCATTGCGATCTTCGCGGCCGCCCTGTTCACGTTCCGATCGCATGAGCTGCTCCAAGTGACAAAGATCGATGACGTCAAGGACCTGTTCACAGACGCCCTGGAGATTCAAGTTATGCCCATTCTGCAGCAGTTCCTCTTTCCGATTTATGACCCGCAGGAAAAGTAACCCTTGGGGAATTTCAAACTCGATTATCCGGATTGTACAGTAATAGTTCAGTTCAATTTTATTCTCTATTGAATTTTGTAAAGTGATAAATAAAATAGTATCCGGATAATGAAAAAACGCGCGAAGATCGGAAGATTGCAATTTGTGATGACGACATTTCGAAATTTGCGTCGTGCCGCTCACATCCTCCCGACATCATGGCGCAGTCCCAAGGCGGCAGAATCCGAATCACCCTCAAGTCGGCAGTGAAGTCAACGCCCATGGTTGTAGCTCCTCATACGCCGGGAAACTCCAAGATCACGGAAACGCAGTCGTTGAACGTCATCAAGAACTTGATCCGGGTGTCCATATCCGAGATTTGCTACCTTCGAAGTCGGAAATACTATGGGCATACCATGTTGGAATTCATGTTTTATAATGTTGTAGACCTATTTCCGGATGAAGTGTTCAAGGAACGAGTGTATGCCGACATGCAGATCAAGTGCCTTGCTCCGCAAGAAAATTCGCGAGACCAATCCATGCAAGATGCGTACTCGATCACAGAGTGGCTGGAAGCAGGGGCTTTCGACGCAATGGAAAAGAAGTACCTCTTGCAATTGGAGTTTTGCATCTATGCACTGGGAAAGAACAAGACCCCTCAAAACCTACTGGAATGGTATCAAAATTACACCCTTCGACCTCGCTTAACTAGTTACATGATTAGTTACACGTACAAGATCAAGGAAACGTCCAATGGATCGACATTTTCCACGAGTTTTACAGGAACACAAAATATCGATTCCCATCCCGAAAAGGTGAAGACGCAGGCCGTTCAAATGATTCGAAACCTTGTCAGCATCACCAACACACTGGAACCGCTGCCAAAGAGTCGATACATCACAATGAAGTTATCCTACAACGGTACGAATTTTAGATCCGAAGGAATTCAAATGGCTCGTAGATCTTTGCCCATCTGGGTGGCAGCCAAAGTATTTCAAAGAGCTCACCTCAGACCTTGGTGAATCTTTTGGCGAATCCACATTGAAGTTGGATGTGGTGCGTTTGGCTCACTAAATCGTCTGGACTTTTAACACTGAACCTTCAGGGACGTATGGCAACTCCGTTCCACGCTATTTCGATGAAGTTGGAGGCCGCGGAGAGCGCGTTCGGGACAGGTGTCGATGCCCCAAGCCGCGAAGTCGATATTTCACTCTCACAAGCCAACATCGTGTCGAACGAAGACGCAAAGTCTCCAGCTGTTGTCTCGCCAAGCCCCGAGAAAACAACCGAAGGGATTCGCCGCGCCAAGCCTGGCCTTCCATTTTCCCAACCTTTGCAGCGACAAACAAGAAGTCCCGCTTTGACCAAAGATGGACTTATTCGCTACTGCATTCAATTCAAGACTGTGACCATCCAAGAGTACTGTACAAACTTGAGGAACCTCGAACCTCCGACTAACGTTTATGGTTAGGATCGAAGACAAGCTGGGCTATGACCTCACCGTGATCAAGAAATGCATGGACGAGGTAACCCGTCTGTATTCCAAACTAGTATTACAATCGTGTCGTCTAGCTTTGTGCAGAAAACGTGTTTACGAATCGAAGTGATGGCGAATACGAAGTCATGGCGCAGCAGGATTGCTACTACTTTGGTAAGCAATAAGATTCCATGCCCCCCATTCTCTTGGAATCTCATGTTGATCTGGTGCAGATGCCATAAACCTCATCCATGGGAAACTGCGACGCCACATCTCCGTGCATACGTTGGCGAAGTGCATGTCGTGGTCGATTTATTTTGCCAAGGCCATCTTGTGGCGCATGAACCATGACAAACTTATCGACATGGAACGAGAAGTGGCGTTTGATGGATACAAGGTCGTTTTGGAAGGTAACATATAATGTCATGCTCAAGCTTGCAAGTGACATATTTTGAATAGACGCCAATCGATCGATCATCCAAAAGGCAATTCAATCAGGTGTGTACAAACATGAATGTCCAATATTTGGCTTACATATTACTGGGGTAGTGGCTGAAAAAGCTGCCCAAACAACGAAGACACCAGGCAAAAAGACCCCTCAACGAACGTCGATGTCGAAGCCCCGCCCGACGTCAAGTTGTGCATACATGCCCATCCTTCAATCCAACCAAATGGCCAAGAAGCGACGCGTGATGATCAGCAGAGTGGCGGCGACTCCCATGTCTATGACTCGGTGATAACGTCCTGAGACAATCTATTCAATTCACTTGCTTGCTTTATGGCAACTCACATCACCAGCTATGTTAGCGTACAGTATTCCACGCGATCGTACTCATGACACTTGCTTGCAAACATTACTTGGCGAATGGTCAGTAGTCATAAATCGCCATGTTCAGGCTATCACTAGTAATAGAAATCACAGTGATCTTCCCACTTTGTTGATCCTCGATCTGAAGTCAAGTGTGTACTTTTGTACTTTGGTAGATCAAAATCATCTACCTTCTGTCCTCTGTGACACTGTATCAGCATGGTAAACTCACTTGATGCTCCAGTTCTTCGATTGGATTAGACAAGGCCATATATATATGTAAATGTCATATCGCATACTATTTCGGGGTTTCGGGGTTAATAGTATCAAGCATTGTACTTCGTCAAAGCACGCCCGAGATTTTGACTGGGACAAGTTCAATTGCTGTTGAATCCTACATAAAAATCACAGGTCATCAACACAGACAGAGGTTCACACTCACTCTTGCGCTGTCACAGCAGGCCAATCGACGCAGATTTGATAGACATCGTCTAGTACACCCCTGACCACGCCACCATCTTCCGTCAAAGCCGCTGACCTGGTCAAAGTGGGAGGCTTTTCTTGCAAAGAAGCTGGCTTCGCCTCACTCGGAGGCTTTTGCGGTGCAGCTGGCCTGGTAGACAGGTTGGGCTCCGTCTGCATGATTCCTTTGAGGCGCCAGCGACGCCTCGTGTCCCAGTCCAGTAGGCCCCATGGCTCGGAGGCGACGCGGCGCACCAGCACCCGGTTGGAGTTGGTCCGCTGGTTGTACACATTGGACGATGGCGCCATGATATTGCTATTTAAATGCCAAAGACACTGCGATGTTTTCTGGCCGTTGAAGCGATTGACATAGATAAACTGGCCAATGATCAATAAACCCATGATTGATTGTTACCTCCGCGTATGGGGGTATGAAACCCCAAAACCCCGACGTTCAATATGGGCGAAGCGCATGTCGTGGTCGATTTATTTTGCCAAGGCCATCTTGTGTCGCATGCATCATGGCAAATTCATCGACATGGGAAAATACAAGGTCGTTTTGGAAGGTAATAAGCTTGCAAGTGGCATACCCTGAATATGACTCCAATCGATCGTTCATCCAAAAGGCAATTCAACCACTTGCGTACGTGAACCTCCATATATTAGAGTGGTTTGGAAGTGTCCGTTTGGCTCCACCACACTCCACTTTACTCAACGTTGAGGTAGTCGCTAAAAATTCTGCCCAAAGAACGAAGACACCAGGCAAAAAGACCCCTCAATTGAACGTCGATGTCGAATCCCCGCCTGGCGTCAAGTTGTGCATACATGCCCATCCTTCAATCCACTGTAATATCACCTGGTGGCCTTCACTGGTTACAGAGGAACACATGATATATATATACTGAAATATTTCTCGCCCTTTCAACGCCCGCCTTAGTCGACCATGTTCCGAAGCCGGCCCAGCTGGGTCCTCGTGGCGCCTGTCCATCGCAAAACACTTAGAATTTCATCACCAATGGATTTCATACCATTTCTCACGAGGACGTGGCCCCTGGTGGTGGAGGCTACCCATCCCGCCGCAGCCAGATGCATCACCACAGCCCTGGCCACAAGAGGAACGTACCCACACTCCCTCGCCACTTCGTCAGTTGCCACTGGGTTTGGCGACTTCTTTGCGATCAGCAGCAATCCATCTATCCATCCATCATGTTTGCAATGAAGCAGAAGCTGCCTACGTTTGTACACGGCTTCGTCCCTGCATCGACAGTGATGCGCTCCGTCCACGAGCCCCGTAAGCACCGTGTGTTTTACCAGCTACAATGTAGATTTCTGTAGATCATGCAAAAGCAGCTAACAACGTACTTCGTCCAGGTATATCTGCGCATTCGCTGGAGACAGTTTCAGCCGCGATTCCAGTCTACGCACAATCAATAAGTACCGAGTTTGTCATTCCACCCTCACTCTTTGGACGTGATCGAAGGCTGCTGAAGGCACAATTGAAATACGTCTTCGAGGGTCACCCGTGGGTCGCCGTCGGGTCGCTTGGCCAAATTCGGGGGCGTCACGTGCATGATCTCGTCGAGGCGCCAGCGGTGCCGCTTGTCCCAGTCCAAGAGGCGCGAGGCTGCTTTATCATGGAAGCCGTGGCTGGCGGTGAACTCGTCACGGTGTCGCAGGTAACTCGACGACACCGCGAGGCGTTCGCGCCAGTGATTGGTCGACTGGTACGGCTGGTTCACATTCACATACACGACGCGCCCTTGGAATGCGTCCAGCACCCCCACCACGTCGACTGGATCGCAAACATTGCTGGCGTCGAACACGCCCTCGATAATCGTACCCACGGTTAACCCAGCCATAAACGCAGGCGACCCGCTCGCCACTTGATGCACCATCCACGAGTTGTACAAGTACTTGATCGTTATCCCCCAAGGATCGCAGTCTAGCTCGCGCACCAGCACCCGACTCGAGTTGGTGCGCTGGTGGTAGATTTCCGACGAAGGAGCCATCTTCCAAAGAATTTGAATGTTTGGCTGGGACACGGTCAAGAGTTTGGGCGGTTGTAAGTACACGTGTGCTGGACAATACCAACAACAGCATCATCATTGGGCTAGATATATCAAAGCGAACGGTACTGTCATATATTGTCTATTAATATAATGTTTCAACACATGAACGCTATAGACCTAGATCTAGAGTCCATATTTTTTCTGGACGGGATGGCCTGGCTCATGGACGACCACATGATGCTGCTGCTTACTCCACACGAGAGTGGGCGGCCACTTTGTGCTATCAAACACATGAGCATACGGCAATTGGCTGGCCAGGGCGGGAAACGTCCGCCGAATTCTCACGGCGGCGTCCTCCACAAACTCCTTGGGCACATTACGCCCGTAGCCCCTGCTCCGAGCCTCCACCCGGCTCAGCGCCAATTCCACGGGGATGTCCACGCACATGACGTGGACTTCGTACCGACGGTCCAGCGACCGAAGCAGGAGCTCGTACTTGTCCAAACTTCGCCCACTCCCATGCAGAATCACATTGCGGCGGTCGGCCGTGGCCTGCTTGAGGTTGGCGTCCAATATGAACTTGGCCTCTTCCTGGCACTGGAGGTACCGGGTGTGGGGGTCCGTGGGGGCTTGCGCTTGGACGTTGCCGAGCCCAATGTTGAGCATGGCTTTGTAGAACTCTGGCAAGAGCGCGATCACGTCATCCACGTCAAAGTTGACGAAATCGTTCAACACGATGCGCTCCGACTGGTCCAGTTCGCTCAAAATGGACGATTTCCCAGCGCCGGGAATCCCCAGCAGCAAGATAAACTTGGGCTGGGCCAGCTGCGACGGCACGTGCTGCGGGAAGAACAGCTGCGCGGCTATGCGGTCGTGGAGCTTGCGGCGCGAGTTTGAGTAGGTCGGGCGGATGGCGGTGGTGGTGGCGGCATGCAGTGGCTTGGGCTGGAGGGTCACCTGGGAGGAAATGTCGAGGAAGCATGGGGCCGCCGTGTGACAGTCGAGAATGCGCACGCCGTGAAGAAGAGTGAGTCGATGCACGAGGGTGTTGAGGACGTGCGGGGCGTTCACGGCGTGCACGATCGTCGTGGATAATGGAGTCGTCTTCGTCGAGGAATGTTCGATGGCAACCTCGCTCGACGACGATGGAACAACATCTGTGTCGTTGTGGGAATCATCGATGACGTGTCCGCTGTGTTTTGCGAGAAGGGCCGCGACGGCGGTCGTGTGGTACGGAGGGACGTTGAGGCGCAGGAGAAGCTGAGACTGCAGCACGCACGCGTCGTCCACGAGACACTGGTGCATGGTGGTGACGTGGTGGAAGGTCACGCACACCATGCGCCGAAGCCGACGGAGGATGCGCGCCGTCGTGTGTTCGTTGACCGAGGCAGAGATGGTCATGCGACTCAACTCAGGCACGACGGTCGGCTGGACCGACAACGACCCGACATTGGTGTGCAGGGCGGCAAATGCCTGCGCGATCTGCGCCAGTGTCCCGGGGCGGTTGACCACCAAGAGCGAGAAGAAGCGCTCTTCCTCGCGCCCTTCTTTGGTGGAGAAGCGTGCTCGATGCAGGCTGGCATTGGTTGGACGTACTAGGACATGGCCGCAAAGTCGCCGCAGCCACATTGCCGTGTCGATGTGTCACCTGTAGATTTTGATTTGTGTTTGAGTATCGAAAAGCAGGGGAAAGTCCAGCAGCAAGTCGAGTTTTGATTGGACAGAATCGATGCTTTTATATTTCCAAGCATTGGATTGGTTTCTCCGTTTCAGGCAAAAAGATGCACACACTTCAAATGCCCATTGCTCGTCGATTATGGCCTGAGCTATGAACTTGGTCACTTCAAAGCAGATAAACACATGAGGCACTACACAATGACTCTGTCGCAGGTCGTCTGGCGGGCTTACATGCTGGGCACTTGCTCGACCACGAGCGTCACACTTTTATGGTGCTCATGGTACCCTCGAATGACCACCGACACGGCCGTTACTTTATCCACCGTAAACACGTACGAGAGCTGGCAGAAGTTGCCGTAGCCCTGTGACATGGCCACTTTGGATTGGTCCACGAACAGCTCAAACGTAGACGCCGTCAGCGAACTCCCCGCTCCTAGCGGCGGAGGGCTGGCCGGAGGATGGCCACTCAGGCCGCGGATCTGGATGTGGTAGCCGCCGTGCTTGAGAAACACCAGCTCCGTGGCGTCGACGGACAGCGCGAAATGCTGCGGCTCCAAGCTCTGATGTACATTCCAACACGAAAAGACAAATGTTCCCAGAGGTTTGGGGATGCCTTGGGAGAGCAAGAAGAGGACGGGCTCCGGCACCTTGAGCACGCGATCCATGTCCTTAATCAGCTCGAGCATCTTGGAGTCGAGGGTGTCGGCGGAGGACACGGTGGCGAACGGAACGAGCTCGAAGTGGAACCCCAGAGGAAGGACCGTGTCGACGTCGTGGCCCGCCACAACGAGCAGGACATGCATCGCCCCAGAAGCGGCATGGTGCTTTAGATCCACTTTCGATTGCGAGCATGTTCGTGCACTGTCGGGTTGGAGGGCAACCAGCGCGTTCTAACAAAGGCAACGAGGTTAACGACCGAGGGAACGAGGACGATACCTGGAGCGCCGACACCACCGTCCAACCGTCGGTATGCGTATGCGCGTCCTTCGAAGCATGGACCTTCAAGTCGATGACGTGGCATGACCTAAATGCAGATGTGAGGGCTGAATATGAGAGAGGTAGCGGACCATCGCCCCTTGGTGCGGTGGGATTCCAGGGAGATGGTCATCGGCAACGCCCCTTGCGTCGAGACAACGTCGACGTCAAATACATCGGGGTGCGAGCGGAAGCGCACATCATGCAGCTGAAGGTGGTTGTCATCTTCGAGTTTGGACACTCCATCGGGTTGGAGCTGATGCGGCGTTGGTGGTGGCGGTACAGATGTCATTGCTAGTTTCCGACGAAAGTGTCTGTTGGAGAGCGAAAGGGTCTGCCTCTATATTTTATCCATTCAAATTAGCAATATGCGTATTAGTCAACTAATATGACAAGAACTGGATTGTTTCCTTGACTCCATGAGAAGAATCGGCATTTGTGAATTTGGACGAGTTGGATGTCTTCAACCACCAAGCAAGTGTACTCGGAGATGGAGGAGCCTCCAATGGCCGTCCCTATCTCCTCCGACGCTGTGGGCCAGTGGAAGGTAGATGTGACCAGAGCCAGCACCAACTTGATGACGGATTGCTGCCCGTGCGCTCCCCTCAGCGACACCATGTCACGCATCACCAAGCACCACAAGGTGTACGGTTGGATGCTTGGCGTCGTCTACACCGCCGCACTGGTAGCTCCGCCGCTACTTGTCATCACTCAAGCCCGATCGTCTTGGGCCTGGGTCGCAGTGCTTGTTGCTTTCCTTGTGCTAGCAGCCCTAGTCGTCACGGCTGCGCGCTACCAGGTGCGTTCGTTCTTTGGCATCCCTGGAAACCCTGCCGAAGACTGCTTCTTCTCGTGTTTCTGCATGCCGTACACCATTGCTCAAATGAAAGCGCAAGTAGAAGATGTCCCAGTAACCGACATTAGCTCGCTGCCTGCGTACCAAGCTTAACATGATTCAAATGTCAGGTCCATCGACCTGGAGTTTTTTAGTAACATTAAGACGAATTTTGTATGAACCAGCAAACCGTGCGTTGTGTACAGTATCCCTGTTAGAACTGAATACTTCTCCGACGGACTTGGCCCTGATCGCTCCAAACCTCCTGTGTTGATCGGGCGGTGGTTCACTGCAGATGCTAACTCGGAGAAGAGTAGGCATAAGAGGGGCCCCTGCTTTCCACGTGTCTACATGTTCAAGTAGGAAAGTGCAAGGAACCACGTGGACATTGCCCCGATGGGTACATATCATGTTTATTGCCCTGCTCTTTTCTGCACTGGACAAAGCAGACGCAAAACAACAGCATCATGTTTACATTCCTGTAGCGTACTAGTTGTATACAGCATTGAAATGCAAGTGGCAAAATGTGGCCGAGATGCTAAAATCACCTGAATAGTCCGAAGACTTGGCTAAATTTAGTAGACACTACGCCTAATTGACAACATGGGCGGGTGCATTTCCACGGAAGCGTTCGACCATGCGGTGCTGGTGCCACACAAGCCGATGGCGGTTCTGCACTCGAGGTTCGCAGCCCAGTGCCCTGTGACACTGCTCATTAAGCAGAAAATGTGGTCCTTCTCTGGAGACGACTTTACGATCAAGGACATCCACACGGGCACGCCGTACTTCAAAATCAACGGGTCTGCATTGTCCTTACGCCAGAAGAAGTCGCTTCTGGACTACAGTGGCGCCCAAGTGGCCTACATGGAGGAGCCGCTCTTGTCCTGGACGCGGCGGCAGGAGGTGTACACCCCGCAGAAAGAAAAGTGGTTTGAGATCAAGCCGCGATTGACCATGTTCTCCAATGAACTGGACTGCGCCGCGGTGGACTCTGTCACAGGACAAACGCTCCACTTCGGCCTCCAAGGCGACTTTATCGCACGCAAGTCGGTGATCACCTGTGACGGTGTGCCAGTGGCCAAGATCTGGAAGCCAATCGAGTTCGTACGAACGCAGTATCACGTGGATATTGCCCCTGGAGTGGATATGGCGTTGATAGTCTTGCTATGCGTCGCGTTAGACGAAGCCACGGAAAAGAGATAGAACACTACTGGTACTGGTTACATGACGGTGCCTTACGATATACTAATACTACAACCGAAGACCTTCATAAATATGTTTATGCTTGATTTACTAGAGTACTACTCTCGAGTAGTTGCTATTATAGTGTTCAGTTAATCAGCATAGTAAGGCAGCGGCTACAGCAGCCAACCAAGAAACCCACCAAGAGGTCTGGTTTCACTACTAACGTTATTTAGAGGTCGACGTGTTTTGTACTCTTAGAGATTTAACTGGACGATGTGGTCCACGATTACCAAGCCACTGAGCAGTTGCCGGCTTAAGATGCTAACGGTGTCCATGTCCATCTGATGGAGCTTTCTGTACCCCAAGCGCGCCAGCATGCCTGCATCCACGCTGCACTGCCGAGCCAGCCCATCGGCAAACACCACTTCCAGCTGCATTTCTTGGCCTAAACAGCACATACAATAATAAATTGATAAAGTCGATATCGATAAAACGTACCCAATATATACACTGCGAAGAGCCCCGTGGCTGAGGATGGGACGCCGTCGTCCACGAGTCGGAATTTCTTTGCAATGTGAAACAACCGCCTTCGAACGTCCACCCGCACGCCATTGTGACCGATCGAAATGCGAGATCCCTATGAATTAATTTATTATTATTTTAACAATAAAGATATTGTTATATAAAAATATATCATTCGTATGAAAAAAGCTGATATTTTTCGCTTTTTGAGGTACCATGTGCTTGGAAATTTCAATTTTCTGGTTCAAATCGCACAACGCCAAGATGCCGTGGCCAGAGAAGGCCCACTCTTGGTACTGCAAGCCCACGCAAATGCAAATGTGCCATCGAGAGATGTAGCATTCCACGTACAGCACGCCCTTGTCTTCAAAAAAACCCAGGTGGGCCATGCCTATGGTTGCTGGATTAGGAACCCCGAAACCCCGAAACCCCGTACCCAATTTCACGCGCTTGGCCAAGTAATAAATGAGCGTGGGCTCGGAGTACCGAAAGCAGCGCAGCAGTTCGTTGGATGGGTTGCTGTCACTGCACCGCTGGTACATCCGACCAAAGTACATGTCTGGATTGGGCAGCAGTAGTGTTCGGGCGTCCAGTGACAAGTTGCGAAAGCTGTGGAAATCCTGCTGGTTCAGAACGTATTGCCCTCTGGACAGCATCAGCGCCATCGTAGCTCCTATTCCAGCGATAAGTTTGGTCGAATAATGTATAACATATATATATATATATATTGACCTTCTGTAAGCCGGTCCAGTTCGTGGATGCGCACGAGCATGGTACTCGGAAGCAGTCCAAAGAGTTTGAGGTCGTCTACGTCAAAAGCGCACTCCAGCGCCATCGCGTCGCCTTGCTTTCCATTCGCATTACAGTGTAGAACCATCAGTAAATGACCTTTCGATAAGCAGCTACAATAATATCGTTAATTCGACGTATTCTATATATATATATTTATATATTTAGCCACCTGTAGAGGACGTGATACGCGCCACGAAACCATACGCGGCGACAAAAAAGGCGCGGGTGGTAGCTCTCCGAGTCGGTGGTATTACCGCTCAAACTCGACTTTCGCATTTGCAGCTTCAGCGTTTCCACCTAACGAAACGACGAAATTGGGTCGGGGGGGTTCGGGGTTTGGGGGTTTAGGGGTTCTGTCAGGTACCCTCGTGAGCGCCGTGTTCTTCCGCAGATGAGCCTGGATTTTAATGGCAGCTTTGCGCTCCCGCCTCAACACGAGCACCATTTTGCCTGCTCGGTACCGCCTGTACGTGGTCTGAACAGCCACCGCCGCCCGCTCCCTTCTCGTGGCCAGCGCCAGTTTGTTGAGTTCTTTGCGCTCTTTTCTTTCTTTGGCGTGGAGCTTCCGCAGCTGGGCCAGAGCCCGTTCGCGCTCAAAATTCTCTTGAGATTTCCGGACCATTTCACGGCGGCGTTCCAGCTCGGCGTACCTAAGCAATTTTTTCTGTGATAGCAACTTTCAAAGCCACGGCAACGTACTTTTCGGCCTTGTCTGGGTTTACACGAAGTTGCTTTTGCACCAATCGACGGCGCTGAATGGCTTGGAGTTTCACCACGACTTTGTCGTTGCCTTCGACTATAAATAATTTTCATTTTTGACTGTGGAAAGATAATATGAATCGAGCGAAGTAAATGGATAAGTAATGCACGTATGTACAGGCTTGGAACACGTAGTGGTTGGCGCTGTTTTTCATGCTTCGGGTCTTGTTTAGACTATGATTTGGGGTGAGAAATATGGACGGTTGGTTGATTTGATAAACGTAAATCAACATAGAAACGAATTACAGTGTCGCATTGAATAAGGAACCCCGAAATACATACTGTATCACATACCTAATGCTGTTTCTCCGCACCCGCAGTTGCTTCAACTGCAGCGAACGCTGTCGCATGACTGACTGGATGCGGATGGCGGCAACGTGCGCCTGCTTCTTCTCTTGGAGCGCCCGATAGCTGAGCATAGTGCGCCACCAGCACTGCAGCACGATCACCTTTTCTTGAATGTTGAGCGCGGTTTGCAGCGCTTTTCGCTGGATTTTAATATGGCGGTTCTTTCGGCGCTGGGATATGGTTTGAATCGTAACGTGAAACATAAGCTGAAATAGCTACCTGCACTTCGCGGTCCGAGAAATGCTCGAGCACGTCGAATTTGCTTCGTTTTAGAATGCTGTGCACCGTGGCTGGGTCCAATGCGGGGTTGTTTGTATGTTCAAAGGCGTCGGCGACACCATCGAACGACTTCAAAGGGCTTTCCAATGACACGCGCAGTGCATCTCGTTGCTGTCGCTTTCGAATCTTCTTGCTCATGGGCGACTAATAAACGAATGATTCGCGTTTAGCTCGGATCGGAATATAGATGAAGACGTCGCGCCTGTATAATCGCCGACTGCATCCGCAGCTCCTTGGAGCTGAACATGCCAAAGCTAGCGTACGACAAGTTCCACGGCTTTTCGTTGGACGCGGGCGATTTCTGGTCCAGCGCTACCATTATTTTGCAAGAAATGACCAACATATACATGAAATTGCATTGAAAACGAAATAACTACCTGCCATCGTTTGCTGGAGCTTGTCAGGCGAGACGTGGTGGCTCGTTTGGTTGAGCACACTCGTGACCAAGATCGTCAGGACGGGGTAGAACCAATGCGCGTGAAACAGGCCTTCTGCCGACACGGCGATGGATTTCCCTGCCAAGACCGACAGTAGCGTCCAAATGGGGCCAAATATATGTGTACGTAGGAGGTAGGTAGGTACCTGTAGGCGCGACGAAGACATACTCGATGGCGTCTACCATGAGCAGATCGTCGATGAGGATTCGGCAGGCCTGCAGCGTCGTGGTTTCGTGAAAAGGGATGCAAAACAGCGGCTGGATGGTCGTGTAGCGGCACATGTACAGTTTGAGCTCGCCGTGCTTGATGATGTCGTTGGTTTTAAACGTCATCAGTTTCGAAGGCGACGTCATGTTGGTTGGCAGGATGATCTCGGGCACGAATCGAGTAAGTGGGGACGGCGATTTCATCTTCTTTTTCCCGTGCGGACTGGCTTGTAAAGAAGGACTGATCACCTAGAATCATAGAATCAGTACCAAGGGCAATGTGATTTGAACTATACAGGAGAAGGGCGTTGCTTGGGGTATTTGCCAAATGGGCTGTTGAGCACGCCCAGTTTGCTGAGCTGACTGACCTTCGACGCCGACAGGTACGGCGACCGCGACGGCATGTCCACGAAGTGCAGAGGCGGCAGGATGGTGGACGAGGCGGGTGGGGGCTCTGGGGAGTGCTCATCTGAATCCGAGCCTGAAAAGTAGAGAAGTTCCTCGAGGTCTTCAGGGTCATACGCTAAAGCGTCCATCTTGCTTATGCGGGCACGTCGTCGGTTTCGGTCGTGTGTCTCGGCTAGTCAAGGGAGTTTCACCATGAAACGGCCAAGCGAACAACACTAAATGCAGTGGCTGGGTTAATCCTATTTCGTCATTTAACCTGTGTGTACCGGCACAGGTTAAATTAGTTAAACCTGTTTCGTGTATACGGCAAGTCGGGATAGAAAGGGTGAGGTCATTATTTACATTATTGTTATACGCATTGATTACGAATTCTCATTGTGCAAGCATTTCAAACATCCAGCTCGATCGGAAGTGTAACTGTCAGAAGAGTAACCGACGAGAAACGGCTGTATATTGGCGGGATGCTCCCCGAGTATGTCAAGGATGATCCGGTGGGGTATCATGTGAGCGCCAGTCGGCCGGGCGACGGAGGGGGGTATACCGAAGGACTGGTCAAGGCCTACAACGACCAGCACGGCACCGTCCTCGTTCGCTTTGGTACTTCTGCACGCATTCACAGTATTGTTTTAACGTTGGCACTTCAGATGACGGCGAAGAAGCGTGGTATGGACCAGAGGACAAACTAATGTTTCTGCAGCCATCGGTTACTTCTTCGTACGTCAGCAATGAGCATTCTGTTGATTCACTGATTGTTAGACCCAAACATCCGCCCCCAGACAACCCATTGCAGTGGAAGGTGCGCGTGGCCAGTGGGAAGCAGGGCCGGGTCGTGGGGTATTCCGCCCCGTTGGCTCAAATCCTCATGGGTAAACCCCTTTCAATGGGGTCGATCTTTCCTGTTGACATTTCCCCGTAGATTCGGGGGAGTCTGTCTACGTTAACATCGCCACCCACGACATTCAGTTTTTGTATTGCACGTCCATCTTTCAGTTTGAAAGCACCCCCCGCCAGTACAATCTCCTACATCCGCCCCCCCTTTTGACATCTTCTGTAGCCCCGAAACGGAACATGACCCCCAACCGTCAACATTACCCCTTTTTGCCAAACAATTTGACGTGACCGACGTCCGGTCCAAGCTGTCGACCTATCGATTGATTCTTGAGCACTGCCAAAGCTCCCCAGCGTGGCAGACGAAGATTGGATCCGACCTGAAAGCCATCGAAGTTTGTGATTTTTTTACTATTTTTATGCCCAAAATTCCTCCATTTTACATGGGAATGTCATAGAACGACCACCGGCGCATTCATTTTGTGTTTCAAGATCTGCAAGCCACCGACCGGGGGCTTCGGCTGGCGGCCGCCCGGTGCATTTGCGCCTTGGCCTACGAAAACGAGCTCAACCAATCCATTCTCTCCACGTAAAAAAAAACACATCGTCGAACTATTCAGCTAAATGGAATTATTGCAGGGAAAACGGACTCACGGTGGAGTGGCTGCGGGTGTTTTCGATTCCATCCAAGTTCCAACGTTTGTACGACGACCAGTGTAAATCCGAGGGCCGGGTGCCAGATCAAGAGGATTTTATTCGGTTTCTCACGGCGCTAGTGAGATCAAATATGCCCACAGTCGCTGCAAGCGTCTACAAATTCTGCGACAAAGCCGCCCACGTGCCGAGATTGTGGTGCTATCCCCCTGTCGCAGGCAGTGTGAACGAGTGGAGCACCATCCCAGACCCGGAATCCCATCTCATTGGGTTCATCCTCACCCCTCGGGCTGCCTTGCCCAAACATCTCACGCGAGCTGATATACAAGACCTAACGGATCTATTCACTCCTGACCTATCTGTGGTAAACAAGGTCTTTTCAATCTATATATTTATTATTACTTTTCGGGGTGTAGATGACGCTGCTGAAAAAAGCCCAAGTCGTGCAGGCCTCGCTGGCATCCCCCGCGAACAGATTCGCCTTGTACGAGGCGCTGAAAGAGGACCCGTTGCTCGAGTTGCTCTTGGAAGACCACCCCCCACTTGCGGGGTTGCTGCAGACGTTCGAAATGGAGGCAGCAATTTCCTGGCGGGATTTGTTTGGGTACTTGAGCACGAGAATACACGTCGATATCTTAACGAAGACGTGGGGCGCCGACTTGATGCCAGAATTGCTGCGGCTGTTCGTGTCCCTGATACCCGTTCCCAGTCCCTGTACGATATATATATATATCAAATTATTTGAATATTTATTTAATTTCTCTTACAGGGTTATTCCACCACAGCTGGGTGTGGCAGTCGCAGCTTCGCGCCACACTAGAAACCAGCGCGTTGTTAAATGGCATTCACCTGTTCTTCGAGGTACTACTAGTAGTAGTACAACTACTTTATAACTCAATATGCTAACGATATGAACTAGGCCTTTGAAGATACAGAGTCGCCAGTTCAATTGGTGATGGCGCTGACGCACCTAAGGAGGTTAGAGGTGCCGCCGGCCCCAAAACCCCCCGGAACCAACCCCCGACGAAAGGCATCCAAGGGAGACCATCGCATTTCCCTGGCGATTGTATCGGCCCAAGAAGCGGTCCGCGCGCTCAAAGCCATCCAGGCCAAGCACCACGCCGAGTCGAGTTTTCAAAAGCACCTGTCGGACGTTAACACGATCACGACGTACGTGAGCCAGAACGCGCAGAAGCTGCACGACCAGGTGCTGCAGCACGCGTACACGCCGCTGGTTCTGACCCCGCTCTGCACGAATTTGGACGAGATTGTGTCGAGTATGCAGGACATGAAGCACCAGACCCAACAGGACAAGGAGCTGGCGGTTTCGACCAACAAGGAGCGGCTGCAAGATGAGGAAAAGCAGCACCAGGCCGCCGTGGACGCCAAGAAACTCAAGTGGCAGCTCCAGTGCGACGCCATCGAAGCCCAAAAACAGCAGAAAAAACAGGCCACGACCGCGAAAAACGAAAAGAAAGCAGCTCGTGTGCGCCAAGAGCGTCAGGCGCTGGCCCGTCGCCGCGACCAGGAGGTGCGCAAACTGGAGCAAAAAGTGGCCAAAATCATGCAGAGTCCGCGCCACGCGGCCGAGTTCAAGCCCGTGCTCAAGCCCCACCCACCGCCCAAACCCCGAATCCCCGAAACCCCGAACCCCCCGACCGTCACTTGCCCATCGGTCTCGTCGTCAGCGTGTCGGCCGCAGAGCGCGCGCGTGGTGCGAGACCGCACGGTGGCGTTCGGGAACATGGTGTCCAAGCTGCACTCGGTGGAAGTGACGATGAAAAAGGAGCAGACGAAAGCGATGTGGCGGCACGTGCATAGTGAAAACAAGAGGTTTCAACCGCCCGCGCTGTTGAGTGTGTCGAATTGCGTGGCGATTGAGTCCAAACATAAGTCCAAACTCTTGTTTAAGTCGTCGTCCCCCCCAACGAGCCAATCAAATCAACAGCCGATGAACCTCCAGCGGGCCATCACGAGCCTCGACCTGCCCCTGGCCAACGAAGCCACGTGCATTAAACTGGCGTCGGAGCTCATTCCACCGGCTGTGAAACCGCCAGACATCGACGACGACAGCTCTAATTCTTATTGCGTTATGGCCAAATACAACCGAACTCTTGACGACGACCAACGCCAGGTGTTCAAAGGTATGACAATCCCAAACCCCGAAACCCCGGAGTTTCGGGGTTAGCCTTTTTAAATATTTATTACTATTTTGTTAGCCCGCTTTTCGAGCAACCACGTCAAGCTCAATCACCGGCTGTCGTACGCCGTGCAAGAGCAATACGTGCATATGGCGAGGCGGAATCAAGCGTGGGGCGCGTTTTGTGCCAGCTCACGAATCTACTCGGACGACCCCGAGCAGCTCAAGCGCACGGAGTTCGCCACCGTGGCCAAGAAAGTCGGCAAGTTATTACTGAGAAATTTATGTATTTTATCGAGCTAGGAATGCTAATAAACAGTTGCTTAGGAATTGTGCTCCGAGACGACGCAGAGTACGAAGCCGTGTGTCGACGGCTGGACAAGAACTTGACGGGGTTTCTGACGTGGAGGGATTTCTACGAGTGGTTCTTAGACCAGGATTTGAAGCACGCGATGGGAGTCAACCCAGATCGCCGGTCCAGCGCGGAAAAGTAATGAAAAAAATCCGCATTTAGGAATCAATCCCAACGACGGTAGTCGATTGGGGACTCGTCTAGAGTTCATTTGACCACGACATTGACAGTGTTGCTATTCACATGGTCACATGTCAGTACAATGTGAAAGCAAATCAACTTACGCATCAATATATATACAGTAGCCATAAATACATCGAGGAATGTGGTAGAGTGTCAGATTGTGAGTTTGAAAGTTTTGGTTCAATTCCCATTGACGTTACCATTCGATAAGAGCAAAGGTCGTCCCAACCTAAAACGGGGTTTCGGGATTCAATTACAAGTACTATTAATACTGTATTACTAGTATTGACAGTTAATACTAATATTACATTTATTATAATAGAATTAACTGTAAAATACATGACTTTGCTATTTCATGCTATTGCAGTGTACACTTGTAGGTATTGTAAGAGGGCATGGTGTTCTGCATCTCTCGTGATTGTAAGCTGGTAGCTCACGACATAACGTTATCGTTATGGTTAGGTTATACACTTCTGGACCATTGAAAGGTGACTGGATTCTATGCCACCTTTAACCCTCCCGCGACCCCTCCGCTGTTTTGTTCTGCCAGTGCTTTGGTCTTGAGGCTGTACTTGTGAAAGAGGTCGTCGTCCTTAGGCACGCCTGCATCCCCCGTCTTGTACATGACAGCCAGGTTGTGGCACGCGGGGGCGTAGTTGGCATCGCAAGACAGCTCCAGGTACGCCTTGGCCTTGACCACGTCCCGACTGAGCCCGTACTTGGACTGAGACGTCAGGTACATGCTTCCCAAGCGAAAGCAACTGCCGCCTTCGCCCGCCGCGCACGCCTTGTCAATCGCTTCAATGCCTTTGGAAATGTCCTAGGACTCGAAATGGCGCGGTTCACGGCACAAAAAGCGAGGACTTGTGAAGGACACCTACCTTCTCTCCACCCAATGCATTGAGGTACATGAGGCCAAGATGATGGCATCCGTGAATGTGCCCCCCATTACACGCTTTTTCTAGTCTAGACATGAGCATTTGTGGATGGGAATAGAGTCGAACCTAGGGCGGCCTTTGCTTGGAAGTCGTCCATCTCAACTCCCTTGCCAGCAACTACATGATGCACCATCGCATGAGTTTACGAGCATGCGAACGTCACGTACTCAGAAGGCGCCCGTAGTTGAAGCAAGATGCCGCGTAGTTCTTTGTGTCGCAGTTCTTCTTGTACACTGCCGCGGCCTCGCCGTACTTCTTGTCGACGACCGCCAACCACTCGCCGTAGCTGTGGCAGGCACTGGCATCCCCTGCAAGTGCAAGTGAGATAGACATGGGAAAGCCCATAGAGAGCATTACCCTTTCCATCGTCACAGTTGGACACGAACTCGTACAGCCGCTTCTCCAAGTCGTCGTTCAACCGCTTGGTTTCCGCCACACTCTTGTCGCTGCTGCTCATTGTGACAATGACAACCCTGTACAATTGAATGTGAATATTCGTTTCCACGGGATTTCTCTGACCACTAGTACTACGTATCGTTAGTACTTATTAATAGTAATACTAGAACATTTTTCGTGGGAATACTATAAAAATATTAATATTTTATCATAGTACTATTATTATATTATTATTTATACTACTACGTAGAGAAATGATAAAGTTCTACAAGTCCATCGATTTTACAACCTGTCGACATTTCTTGGCCAGTCATCTGCTGTCGCTACAATCGTTGCTGGGCTTTTTGAACTGCTCGCTCAAGTCGGAACAAGCGGAGCCTAGCTTTCCCACTCGAACGTAACTAAACTGAATTGAGTTTTGTCGACGAGAGTGTTCTGGGCCTCAAGAGCCTGCTGCTACCAGACGCCAACATCTCGGACTTGACCATCACGGGGTGCTACGAGCCCGTTTAAAAGCTGCTTTTTTCATTCCTCGGTCGGTCCCACCTAGAGCCACTGGACTTGACTGGGAACACGCTGTCCGACTCCTGGTTGGGGCTATTAAGTACGGCCATTCGGTTAATCAAACGTTGCGGGTGATTATCGTAGCTAGAGTCCTCCCGAAAGTAGTGCAATCGTGTTATCGCATTCAACGCAAGTGTAAAATGCACGTAGTGATTTGTTAGGGGAATATTAGTAGTTAGCTATACAACGAGTGTTTGGCAGTTCATTGATAGGAATGGCGTCAGGACATGATTTGTGCAGGTGTGGCGCTGCGTTGCAAGAACAATGGGACATAGTTACAGATCAAGCAGTCTGACGCTTACTTGCTGAGGGCTCTAAATACTATTAATAGTATATTTTCGTTATTACTAGTAAAGCATTGCAATTGACAATAATTATCGATATATTTTATTATAAACAGTTACTATTAATATGAATACTATCTACCGGTATATCGTAGAATCTTTGGCCGAGGCGCCATTTTAGTTAGTCGCCATAAACTAATAATACTACTTCGAAGTACGTAGTACTCGGAGTACTAGTATTGCGGAAGCTTGGTTGGGTTGTATACTATATTAATTAATACAGTCGATTGTGGGGGTGCTGTCTTGGTGTTAAATGTCAGCCATGGTTAAGTTGTGAATACTTGGTGATGATTATTCTGCAAATCACAATGCTCCTTTGGGACTGCGTTATTGTCACCGATGAGCGCGTGACGTGTCATACAGTAGTTATGGACTACTATGTAGTAGTCGCGAAGAAACTCAGATATAATGATAGTAGTTAGTACAGTATCAGTGCGAGCAAACTACTGTAAAGACGAAGGCTCTAGCTGCTCTAATTCCGCACGTCAGCTGTACATATATCTCAGCAAAGTTGGCGGAGGACCTCAGCCCCCAAATATTTAAAAGCAAAAGTGTATTGTGGCACTGTCGGTTTCAACGAAACTGCCGTCAGGTGATATCCGGATATCAGCAGATTATCCGGATAGTGGAGTGCATTCGGGTGGAGGCATGAATGGAGTGCTGTCGAGCGTGACCTGGGGCACATGGGACCTGGAATCGCCGACTTACGTCACTCGGAATGGCGAGGATGATGACTTTGCATCTGCACAAGGCAGCAAGAAGGAGCGAAGACGGCGAGAGAAGGGTGTGCCGCGGCTCCAAACGCAAGAGATGGCGTGGTTCAACCAACTGCTCCATGACAAAATCGAGCCGCTGAAAGTGTTGCACTACCTTCCCAATCCACTCGCGGCGACGACGATGACATCCGTCATTCCATGGGACGACTTGCCTCTCGGTATCCATCCTAAAGATGGCCATTTACCTCCACAGCGCATCCAGAACAAGCGACATCAAGTTGACAACCTTGCCGTGTTCCTTCGGCGACTCCTACGGTGCGTCCTGCTCCATGTCATCGCGCGTGCTCACGCATATCATTAGCGATGGCGACCGAGTCGTCGAGTTCTGCGCAGGCTCCGGGTACGTAGCGCTCCCTCTCGCCTGTCTCTTTCCCAAGTGTCATTTTGTGGTCCTGGACATGAAGAAACCTTCGCTGGACATCGGTACGCGCCCGCGCTGCCATCCTTGTTCACTGGTGATGTGTAGCGCACGAGCGCATCAACGCTTCCGGCCTGACCAACGTGAGCGTCTTTTGCGGCAAAGTCGACGGTACGTTAACCTACTCCTCCATCCACTTCACACGATCCATGTAGAGTACATGGATTCGTTTGACGTGGGCATTGCGCTGCATGCATGTGGCGAGGTAGTTTATGGATGTATGTACTTGTAACTTAATGTACTCATCAGGCCACGGACATGGTGCTGGAGAAGTGCCTCGAGTCGAATGCTGCGTATGTGCTGGCTCCGTGTTGTGTGGGGAAGATTAAGCACAGCTCGTTAACGTACCCTCGATCGAGCACCTTAACGAACGTCCTGTCGAGGCACGAATACGAGGTGGAGTCCATCTCAAAGCACCGGTTTTGACGTACATTACGTTAGATCGTGGCCAAGGCGGCGGACTTTGGACATGCCGCGCTGACGCTGACCGCGATCAATGCCGCGCGACGGCGGTGCAAAAGCGTCGTGGAGGCGGATCGCAACCTGCGCGCTCAAGAGGTACGTCGATCGAGATCGATTAAGTTAAGAGACGGAACCAGTCCAAAGGGTACGCCACGGCCATGTTCATCATGCACCCGGCGGCCGCCACGCCCAAGAACGACATCCTGGTCGGGTGGCCGGCGTCGCTTGCGCACATGGAAGCCCCGGGACAATTCCTCACAGACCGCGCCGTGCACTGTGCGCTGTATGGGCACGAGTTGCCACGAGCCTTGTCGTAATCCCAACGAACGTTGAATTGGCTCTACACATGGGCAAATTCCTTGATTCCAAGCATGCATGATGAGGGACTCAAAATGGGAATTCTCCCGTCGTTGGAAGCTGCTACGAGACATCGCCGAAGGACAAAGTCACCCACACGAAAAGGACACTCGGTGGGTTCCACAGTTCCCACATAAGCATGTGAGACACATAGCCGCCACGATGCTTGAATCGCCGCAGGAATGTTCTTGATCATAGTGGCCCAGTGGTGAGTAGCCGGATGGAGATGCTGGCATGACAGTCCCAACAGAGGTGGAAGGGTCACCTCCCCAAGTGGGCAGCCTTGTGACTTGTAAAACTCGGTGGAGTGCCACATGTGGTGCTGATGACGCTGCAGATTTCGTCCATTTGGATAGGCCAGGTCGTGTGTTCGAAATGGGCCTTCTTTAACTCGTGCATGAGACATCGTCACTCTCTCCCGCAGTCCGATCTTTCCTTCCTTGTCGCTACCCTGCTCTCGTTGCCGATCTGACAATGACGTCGGCGCCATCTATTCCGCACATCGCCGCCTTCGGCCATCGGCCAGCCAATGCCGTGCATATATGGACCTTTGTCACGAATGCCGTCCATAGGCATTGGCGCAAGCGGCGGCATACTATAGTACGTAGGCATTCGTTGGTCAATCATCTTCACGCAGTGGATTGACTACTGACGGAGCATGCTCCACTTCCTTCAGTCATCACATCAACACCGCTCCTTCCACCAACAGCATCGGCGGAAGCGCTGACGTGGCCAAGGTTGAGGTGGATTCCATGGAAACTAGGCTCCGATTGGCCCATTTCAAATCCATGGAATTGAAGCTCCTTACAAATCCCAAGAGACACGTCATATTTCGCATCTGGGTGACAGACCCTTACAAACTTCAAGTCATATCCTAAATTCCATGGAATCCCTATTGTACTTGCCATTTGTATACGTATCACACTTCAAGCAGGCTCCCTTTTTTTGGTGGAATGGTGAGTCACCATCTGGACCCATTTCCGGATACGAAACAACATGCACAAGAATTGTATGCTAGAATACGGATACAGAAATGGTAGAGGGAACCCAACCCCTACTCCAAGCCAATCAAATCCCGAATAGGCACGGAGTCAATGACTTCGTTTTTGACTGGCGGCCTTTACGCAGCTTGGTGGTGGGTAGTGAAGCCTGAACTTCATTTCCGAATTTGCTCGCAATTGTCAAGATGGCTGTCGAACGCACGTTCCTGTTTACCTCCGAATCCGTCAACGAAGGGCACCCTGACAAGTTGTGCGATCAAATCTCCGACGCCGTCTTGGATGCTTGCGTCGCCCAAGACCCCAACTCCCGCGTGGCTTGCGAAACCTGCGCCAAGACCGGCATGGTCATGATCTTCGGTGAAATTACCACCCGCGCCACGATCAACTACGAAGAAGTGATCCGCAAGGCCATCAAGGAAATCGGTTACGACGACCCCGCCAAGGGCCTTGACTACAAGACCGTCAACGTGATTGTTGCCATTGAACAACAATCCCCCGAAATCCAAGCCGCTGTCGACGGTGCCAAGGACGAAGACATCGGAGCTGGTGACCAAGGTATCATGTTCGGTTATGCTACCGACGAAACCCCTGAATTGATGCCTTTGACCCACGTTTTGGCCACCCAATTGGGCGCCAAGTTGACCGAAGTGCGCAAGAACGGTACCCTTGACTGGGTGCGCCCCGATGGTAAGACCCAAGTCACCATCGAATACAAGCAAATCGATGGCCGCGTGATCCCTCAACGCGTCCATACCGTTGTCATCTCCACCCAACACAGCCCGGAAGTGACCAACGAACAAATCCACATCGACTTGATGAACCACGTGATCCTCCCTGTCATCCCGGAACAATACCTCGATGACAAGACCGTCTACCATTTGAACCCTTCTGGCCGCTTCGTCATCGGCGGCCCCCACGGTGATGCTGGTTTGACCGGTCGCAAGATCATCATTGATACCTACGGCGGATGGGGTGCCCACGGCGGGGGAGCTTTCTCCGGCAAGGACTCCACCAAGGTCGATCGCTCGGCTGCCTACGCTGCCCGCTGGGTCGCCAAGTCCTTGGTCCACCAGGGTTTGGCCAAGCGCGTGATTGTGCAACTGTCGTACGCTATCGGTGTGTCGCACCCCCTGTCCGTCCACATTGACTCGTACGGCACCGTGAAGGAAGGCTTGACTGACGACGACTTGATCGAAATCACCAACAAGAACTTCGACCTCCGCCCTGGTTGCCTCCAGCGTGACCTCAAGTTGAAGCGCCCGATCTTGCAAAAGACCGCCGCTTACGGTCACTTCGGTCGCGACCACGAGGACTTCACCTGGGAACACGTCAAGGAATTGCAATTGTAAAAGAGTAATGTAGCAACACTAGATTTGTCATCCATACTTCCATGGTTTGTTTTACTAGCAACCAATTTGATATTGCCTGAATTAATGTTCTGGATAGTTTCGAGGTTTGAAGTATAGGGGAGCTGGTCAATTGACTTGTATATAGATATTAATAAAGAGTTATGGATGGTGGCTATCTAATTTGGTCGAGCACGTTACCTTTCTGCATGGTGACACAATCAGGTAGAAGTTCCCCACTGTATCTCATACGTGGAAGCGCATGCATATATGGTGACACCATCAGGTGCAAGTTCCCCACTCCATCTCATGTGAGGAAGCGCATGATGAAGCTGGAGTGAAGTCGCTTGAATCGTCCAATGAGACCATGACAATCCAACCCTAGAGGGAAACTTCCACGGAAGTCGTAGCCTTGGTGTCACACTAATTCTGTTGTGCAACCCTATACTTTGCGTGCAGTTACGTGTTGTGAAACGTCGTCCAGAATTAGAACCACGCCAAGCGACTCTGGATTTCGCCATGCAAGCACCTCGACAACTCGACGAAGTCCAAGTCGCGACGGCGTGCGGCGCAGTGCTTCACGCGCCGGCCGACTACGTGACGTCCGACCACATCGTGGCCATTGTCGTCATCCTCGGAGTGTCCCTCTCCGGCGCGCTCCTTCCCGTCCTCGCGGCCCGGGTGTCGCTCTTCCGCAAACTCATGCCGTACGTCCGTCTCCTCAACTCCCTCGGCGTCGGAGTCATCATCGCCACGTCGCTCGTCCACATGCTTCCGCCGGGTCTCCAAGCCCTCAACAACCCGTGCCTCAACTTGGACTACCGCGGCCTCGCCATCGTACTGCTCGTGCTCACCATGCTCAGCATGCAGATCCTCGAGACGGAGATGGTCGTGTTGCTGTCCTCGACGGAGATGGCCTCGGACCTGAACGAGTCCGACCTCGAAGGACCGATCCTGTCCCCCGTGCCACACTCAGCGTTTCCGTCGTGCCACCCGAGTCTGTCATTCCAAGACCAACCCAATCCTCATCATCATCACCATCATCACCACCACCAACCCGGCGCCATCAGAGACCCCCTCGCCAAGCAGCTCAACGTCATCCTCTTCGAGTGCAGCGTCGCCGTCCACTCCATCATCATCGGCGTCGAAATGGGAGTCGCGTCCGGCGATACCTTCCACACGCTCCTCACCGCCATCAGCTTCCACCAGTTCTTTGAAGGTGTCGCGGTCGGGTCGTCCTCTCAAGGCGCGTTCAGCCAGTTCAAAACGTCCGTGTTCGTGGCGCTCGGGTTCGCCATCACCACTCCTTGCGGCATCTTCCTCGGGATTCTCATCTCTGGATCGTACGCGCCAACATCCGCGGCGGCGCTGTGGGTCAAGGGGATCCTGCATTCCGTGGCTGCTGGCATATTGCTCTACATGGGCGTGGTGGAGCTCCTCACGTATCAGTTCACGGTGAACGCGGACTTCCATGCCAAGGCGCGTCGGGACCGCTGGGCTCACTACGCGTGCATCCTCTTTGGGGCTGGCGTCATGGCGGCGATCGGGTACTGGGCCTAAGTTCGCGCCATTGGTTGGGGTGGATGTAACTGTATGTAGTAGTATTTGAATATGAGGTTGTATTGAGGGAATTATTATTCAATATTTCACAAAAACAGATGCACAATTCACTCATAATTGGCGAGATTTCGACCCTTTTTCTTCAACTCCTGCAACCGAAAAGCCTTTGATGGATTTGGCAGTTACCGGCGTTTCAAGTATCTTTTGGCATCATGGAGGGGACAAGTCCCAGCGTCGCCGTCTGCGGTGACCGCCGTAGCTGTAGCAAGAGCATGAATGGCGGCCGATGGACAGACGAGGAGCACGAAAGGTTCCTCGCAGGACTAACCGAGCACGGCCGCGAATGGAAGAAGGTCGCGTCCAAGATCAAGACGCGCACGTCTGCGCAGATCCGGTCACACGCGCAAAAGTACTTTGCCAAACTTGCCAAGGACAGTGGCGGCACCATGGACAGCCTCTCCGACGACGGCAATCTTAGCGGTGAAATGTCCTCCTTATCAATCCATCTCACGCTCCTGTTGTAGACATGGACTCGTGGTGTTCTGTGGACACGAACAACAACAAGAAACGATCCATGCCGTCGCCCGACGAGGTCCTGCGCGCCGTGTCGCCGTCTGCGCGGCAATCCCTCGACGATGCCGAAGTGTGCGCGCTCCAAGTGCTCGCGTGGTACGCCACGGCCCAGCCCAAGCGACTCTGCCTCGCAAAACCACCGCCGCCATCGCCTTCGTTTGCATTTGTGCACATCCAATCCACTTAGCGTAAATGGGGTAGTTCATCACTGTACCAACATTCTTTATATACCGTACAGTATAACTGTACCGTACAATGTCTCTTCTACTCGTGCTGCTCAGTACTTCACCGATACATTTCTCGACCACATCATCATCGCATATGGTTATAACCGATGACAAGAGGGTACGATATCGTCATCTATTTGGTGTCTTTAAAGATGGCGTCCATCAAGTGATGCGCCGCTGACCGGGGACTGATGTATCCGTGCGCGAGATCCGGCGCCAGTCGCTTGGCCTCAGCCGCCGCCTTCTTCTTGGCCAGCAGCAGCAGCTCTTCCGTGAGCTGGTTCCACATCCACTTGGACGCCTGTTTGCTGCGCTTCGCCTCCATCTTGGACGCCATCAGTTGCCGGAACTCGGTGAGCACGTCCCACACCCCCTCCACGCCGTCGCCCTCCCTCGCAGAACACATTTTCACCTGCCAAACAACGTTCACTATAACAGTATTATAGGCACAGATGTGTTTACCACGGGCTTCCAAGCTGGGTCTTTGCGTCTCACCAGTTGCAATGCATGCATGTAATCGACCGCAGTGTGCTTGGCAGCGCTACCCCGTGTACATATATATATATATATATGTACATCTCCACCATAGAACATATACTATAACTAGGTAGGTATCTATCATACCTCTTCAGCTCTCCGTCCGCCTTGTTGACCACGACAATGTCGGCAATTTCCATGATGCCTTTCTTGCTCCCTTGAAGCTCATCCCCGCCGGCGGGCGGCACGAGAAGCATGACAAAGTCCACCGTGTCGTCGATGACAATCTCGCTTTGACCCAGTCCCACGCTCTCGACCAGCACGATGTCGTACCCACATGCTTCGCAGAGCAGCACGATTTCTGCATATTCGTCAGCGCAAGGAGTAGGCGAGTATGAAGGACTACCGTTGGTGTGTTGAGCCACGCCGCCGAGGGTGCCGCGCGTGGGAGATGGACGCACAAACGCATCCGGTGCATTCGACAAGTGGGTCATGCGCGTCTTGTCCCCGAGGATGCTCCCGCCAGTCACGGACGACGACGGATCGATGGCCAGAACCGCAACCTTGTGACCTTTCTGCGTCAAGGATAGACCCAGCGTTTCGATGAACGTTGACTTCCCTGCACCGGGTGGGCCGGCGATCCCCACGCGGAACGACGCTGTTTTGGCCGCATGGTGCAGCTTGCGCTGCGCCAAGACGTGGTCCAAGAGAAGCTCGGCCTGGACGCGGTCCTTCGGAAGAGAAGACTCCACCAACGTAATGGAGCGACTGAGATGAGTGCGAGCCAACGCACTGGCGCTGAAGAGGCCATCGATGAGACGCTTTGTGCTCGGGAGGAGGGCTGTCATGATGCACTTTTTGCAATAGAGGAATTCCGGTACAATATGCAATACTACATTATTTTTCGAACGTTGGCCGATACTCCGTCCCACACAATAATGGCGTGAATTTAGAGTTTGGATGTACCGCACTTTGTATGTAAACCTTATAGACAGGAGCTATTTCTGCGTGAAATTCTCTCACCTGGGCCTGAATCACAAAAGAAGGAAAGTACAACTACTGATCTTCCCCCGAGTTTGGAACGGGCAAATATCAATACTCGGAGTACTTTGCATGCAAGAACTAATATTATAAAATGTCCAAGTTCTTTCAAAAATTCAAAAACGGCGACTAAGGTTGTCAGCGCAATTCCAACATGAAGCCGTGAACGACTTTGGTGGACAAGTACGCCTTGTATGCTATGCATTTAATAAAGCCGAATGCAACGTACTCTGAATTGGACTTATGGGCTAAGGAAGAGTTGAACCTATGCGCTGCACCATCCAAGCAGACCGTTCGAAGCACCATCAAGCGCCACCAAATCCAAAGTCTCCGTGCCGACAGCAAAGCAAGAACCATGGACCGTGTGGTTCTCCGATGCGAGGAACAGGGAGTTTGCCTTACAGGCGATCTCATTCGGCAAAGAGCGTCTTCAATCTGTGACGACCTTGTAATGCCAGATAGCCGCCGCCTGTTGTTTTCGAAAGGATAGTTATACAAGTTCCAAAGAAAACACGGCCTTACCAGCAAACGAGAGCATGGCGAGGCGGGCACTCTTCCAGATAAGCCCCCGGTCAATAATTATAATAATTTTTTTCAATCCCAAAAATTCATCCGGATAAAACATCCCTGCCTCGACCGCCAAACCACCTTCGACCACACACATAATATTGACAAGCAACCAAATCAAGTCTAGTATTGGCCCCGATTTTGGCGCGAGAAACGACCGGATAACGTTTTGAATGAATACAAATCACTTCTTATCCCCCGCTATTGTCGAATTCATCAACCAGTCCGCACGTTGAGGTGGCACGATGGACGCTCAGTATGACCTGCACGACCTTCATGACTTCTCCTACAAAGAGGTCATGAAGGTGACGTGCGATGAAGATGCCACTGTGGCATGGTGCTTAAAAGTTGGCCTGCTCAAGAACGTGATGCTCTGCCCAAAGTGCGACGGCGCCATGACCATGTCCGTCCCAACGAAGCGTTGGCGCTGCCGCCGGTCTTCTTGCGGCGATGTCCAGCGAAGCATCAAGGCGGACTCGTTCTTCGCCAAGTCAAAGTTGCCATTGACGAAGGCGGTCCGCCTGATGTTTGACTGGGCATCGCGCAAGTCAGTCTCCGTGGTAACGAAAGAGCAAGAAGTGTCGCCAACCTCGGCCGGCGACTGGTTTAACTTTTGCCGCGAGGTTTGCTCAGTCGAAATGCTAACATGCGAAATGAAGGTACGTAACTGAATTCATCTATTATCTATTCATTCATACTTTGAGTATTTTTCTGATATGTAAATACGTCTATTCATGTATTCCCCGTGTATATGCAAATGCATGTACCGTAATTTGACCACATATATATGCACATACTACTGTAGTCCACGTAGTTATATATTCACCATGTATATGCATATACACGTATTTATTTCTTCCCCACGAATATATATATATACATGTAATTATTTCTTCCCCATGAATATGCATATACATGTATGTCTTTATCCCACATGAATATAGATTTACATTTATGTACTACAGTATGCATGCATTCACCTTGTATATTTTTCTCTCATATATATGTATGTATGAGAGAAAAAATATACATATAAATATATATAATATATACATAGATATACACA